TTAGTAAAGGTTGTAAATTTCCAACTTGTTTTCATTGATTTGTCAGTCTCTGCACTGTATATGTGTACATGTAGCTTGTACCAGTAGGTACATGTACATAACTTGGTTTGCATGTTGCCTACATTGTAATTCCCCCATGAAGGAATAAGGGAAGGGGGATATTTTCAGATTCAGGAAGTTTCCAAATTAAAATGCCTCTAAAGGGTACAAGGAAGGTTCATTTCACTCTTCAAACTGGAGTGGTTAAACTTCTTGTACATGTACATGTATGGACTGCACATACATGTACATGTACACTAATATACAGTATACTTTTGTGTATACGTTTACCAGTCTCGTTTTTCTGTAATGGCACATGTACATTGTACAGATACATGATTAGTCTAGGTGTAAGACCTTTTTAGCGCCGTTTTTACACTGCAACATTGCAAGCATTGGCGCCCAGTGTACATGTGGTGTAAGACGTTCTTAGCACCGTTTTTACACTGTGCAACATTGCAAGCATTGGCGCCCAGTGTACATGTGTACAGTGTACATGTACAACATCTGCAACTCACATGTATGCCACGCACAAACATCTACGCATATGCATTCTGAATCATTGCAAGAGGGCGTCTCGTACATGTACATGTCCACAAACCTTACTTGTACACGAACCACCCCACTTTGTGTGCGTAGAGTTGGCCACTTTGCGTTATCGGTTAATCGCTGTAGAGGTGATGCATCGCCATCTACAACATAGCCACACAAAGGATGTCTTGTACCAAGACTAGTAGTAAATGATGTGTACATAGCGTGTGTGAGCATTTAAAAATATAGAGAAAGAAGCCATATATTTCTAGGGGGAGCAGGTTAGCGTAGCGGTTCTTTCCTGGCTTTGCACCAATGAGGCCCGGGTTCGAGTCCTGGCTTGGTCCAGGCTTTAAGTGCATTTGGTTTCCAGTCCATACTCGCTCTCGCAAGTTTTCTCCGGGTACTCCGTTTTCCTCCTGCCTCTAAAACTGGACCTTCTTCCTAACCCCGTAATGTGATGCTGATTAATAAAGTGTATGAATAAATGTACAGTTATTGGCGTAAATAGCCCGAGTTGCTGAAAGCGCCATTAAAACAAAACAACAACAACAACAATATATATTTCTAGCCTTCCCCCCAGGCCTTGTTGAGCTGTTGTTTAACGATACGTGTACGGTCCACTGGTAATAAAATTCGTGGTCCAATTCTCTTTTCCTTATTGGCAAGCACTTTAAGACGGAGACTTGAGTAAATATGGTATGACGCTCCAGTACTCGGAAGTTTTCGTAATCACAACCAGGAAATTATTGCAGTTCACATGCTCATGGAGAAAGCGCAGTCTTGAAACTAACCTCTTTTGTTTTTCAACCTCCCTTCCCAACCATCAAAGGTTATGACTGCCATTGTCACAGCAATGTACGTTGTTGCTTGGAAAAAAGTTTAATTTCGTCAAAGAGGAGTAACCCGGCCCAAATGTCGATTCCAATTTTGAAATAACACCAATAGATTTCATTTTCAGAGCATTGTAATTCATGAAAAGACTTTCTTATTTGTCTTATTTATTGCCATTTCCAGGAATGACGTATTCAAATACATGGAGATGCAAAAATTCACACTCTGGGTAACCCCACTCAGTATTAAAGATTAACCACAGCTCTCTCTTTTGGAAGGTACATGTACCGGTGTAACCCAGCTTTTATTACGTTACAGGTACCGTACTTGGAGCTTGATTTGCTTTCAAAGTACTCAGACTGTGGCATTGATATCCCGCACAGTGATTAATTGTGCTCGATTCTGGATGGAAGAGAAAAAGATTGTGTTTGTACTCTGGCCTCTGTGAAGTGCTAAGTGCCACAAAGAAATGTCTTCCTGTTTTACTATTCAGAGCATTTATTTATTTTTTGTTATTTGTAATTCTGTACCTATTATTATGTTTAGTTTATATACCCCAGTAAATGGAATATAGCAAACTATATATTTAGTATTCTAAGGGAAGGGCCATAAGGGTTGAAAATAACTGAAGTGCATGCATGTACAGTAGACTGGATTGCTTTCACTTTGTCAGACTTGCTTTAGAACTTCTGATTTGGCTTACGGGTAAGAGGTTCATTTCTTTATCTCTGATTTAGAATTGAATGGTTATTCAACTTGATCCAAAACAGGATTGATAATACCATGCAAATGGAGCATCTCAAAGCCAAACTAGATCGGCTTGCTGATTGCTGGAGGCTGTGCACCATTGGTTAGTTTTTTAAGCCGGGTAATTAAGGCCGTTGAGACTGCCCTGAAAGGGCTCATCTCTGTGGAATCGAAACAAAACCCAAATAATGAAATACCCTGAGGCTTTTCATCAGTTGACCAAAAAAAAAAAAAAGGGATTTCTTTCTTTTCTGCGAAGGCTGATAATCACCTTGGCTCGGCCGGTGGCATGTGAGTCTCTGTTGTGTCAGCGCCAAAGCAAACAGAAAAACAGGGCAGCCCTGCTTGACAGGGCTGTTGGATCTGTGCAGGGAGATTGCCCGGGAGGGTTTGTTCTCTCCCCCCTCAGCAGCACAGAGGAGCGCGGCGGCAGACTCCCACCTCCCTCCGTTTCCCCGTTCATGGCTAATAATATTTGGAATTGCCCGGAGCCGGGCTGACGCAATGCTAGCCACACGGAGCAATCACAATAGCCGGGCATGTGATCTTGAGGGGATGATGCATAGTGTATCATTCGATACCGCTCTTGCGCACAGTGGGGATGTCTGTTTCTGATAAGTCCACGGTTGAACACCATTTCGCCACATACATGTACATGTTCGTAAATGCCCACACATGCATTGTTTATGGGTTACGCAGTGTAAATTTCATTGAAAGAATCTAGCACCATGAAGACCTTGAGCTTGCAGTCAACCAGAGCCATATCAGAAGGTACACCGTGCAGTGTTTGTAATTGTGAATCGTCTGTGTAGTACACGGAGTGTATGTACCAGCATGTGTTTATTAAAATTCAGGCATTTTCCATGTAAAACAAAGTATTGCTAATAAGAACAAAAATAATGTAGATTTGACAATTTTTAACATAATTTTATGATAATGTACAAAGTATTCTTGTACATGACACGAATACTGAACTTGTTCCTGATAAATGTACCTTATGCATACATCCATTGCGCACAACGGCTGTACAGTGTACATGTACCTGTGCGTTCCACAGTTGTTTCAAATTATATTCATGTACATGTACACTGTACATGTACTCGTATGTGCATGAATTCATGGAATGTGCATATCCATAAGGATGGTATCAATATTGTGCATACATGTATGTACAATGTACCGCCATGCACATGTACAGGGCTTTACAAGCATGTTCAACATGTACCGTATGTTGAAGCTGTTGCATACATGTACAAATGTGTACATGTGGGTATATGTACATGAGCCTATGTACCGGCACAGTGCGCATGTTCACTTTAATAATGGACTTATACACACATGTACATGTGTTTCTTTACTTCAGAGGGTAATATAGGGAATGAAGGATGTTTCCCTGTCGTCATTGGTCAGCCTGCTCATGTTGTCCTCGGCTGTTAATGCCTAGACAGTGGGAACAACAGATTGACGTGTCCTCTATTTTATAATCATAGAGCAAGGCCCCAGCTCAGAGGAACAATATTTAACAATACAGTACACTTTGAGAAATGTGCAATAGACCTGTAAGGTAATGATGTCGTGCTTTGTGTTCATGTGCACTTTCCTATGGCAGTGATGAAGTGGGATGCGATCTGCTCGTGTATCATGTACCGTGTATAAGAAAGCTTCCATATGAAAAGCAGCCATGTAAACAAAGCATGACCTCATTATGTTAAAAAAATTTGTTCTATATATTAAGTTTCAGATTAAACTGTACGTAAATGGATACCATGTGTGTAGCACAGTCTACTGTTGTACGTGTTTTTTGTGAAAATCTGTCCCGAATCCCCCGCATAACAGATACAGTTTAGTGCACCGAGAGCTTCCGAGCTACTGGTTCATGAACCTACACCTCTGTGGAAGAGTGACACTGAGACCGACCAATCTGTCACCAGTCAGTCGTCATTAGTATTGAACTCCCCCCCCCAAGTATAATGCATGGATCCTCCCAGAAACAACGTTTTCCAGGACTAAACTGCCCAGTTCATTAGGAGCTGTGTTTATTGATAAAATAGACGGTGACAGATTTGGTTACAGATTTTGTGAAAGGGGAATTTGTTTGGTATTTACAGAATTTGTAAATCATTTCACGGTATGGGTGTGAGTGGATGAGTTGGACTGGTGCTGCCTGCTGTACTGCCCTTTTTTGGGAAGTGATTGGGGATTGTAGGTTGAAATTTCTTAGCAATAATTACAGTGAGTCATGTTTTTTAAAAAAAATGGTTTTATTGGAGAAGGGACCAAAATCCTCGGCATTTACCGTACTTCTGTTGGACTCACAGCTAAAAGAATTCCACCTTTTTTTCAAGTAGCACTAACAATACATGAAATTGTTCCTGAGTTGTGGCGGCTACTCACGTATCGAAGTGAACATTGGGTAGATGTTGTGGGACCAAGACCGTTCTGGTCTTCTGGACTTCCCTAACAAAAGAAATAGTCCCTTCATTGTGGTGCAGGCCAGCCCTGGTACACACTCACAATCCTGGCCCTCTGATTTTCTGTGAACCAGTTTCAGAGGTGTTATTTGTCAGATCTCGCACAGTGGTGTAGGTGGAGACACACACTACCGGTACACATGGTAATAACAATACTTCCTAGTTGACTATGCATTGCATAAAACAAAGGAAGTTGGTTGCAATCAGATTCATCATTGAAAGAGTCTCACACACTGTGGCACATTTCTGATCAACCCAGTCAGAGAAATTGGAAAATCCAGTACATGCGCAGGACTTGAGAGATGGTGCCAACTTAACTTACTTTTACTCTCTTGATTCCACCTATGTTAATTGTCCTGTTTATCCTGCTCTCGGCAGATATTCGACAGCGCCTAACAGAGCAACTGAAATGTCTGGACAACCGCTACGATGCTCAGCGGGAGCAGCTAGGGGACCTGCAGGAGTACATGAAGATGCGGGCGGAGGTGGAGGTGGAGTACGCCAAGAGCCTTGAGAAGTTGCATGAGCGCCTCACCAGAAGGCAGAAGGCTGTCCAGTAAGTAGATGGGGGCTCAAATTATTTTTCCCTCTTGCAATGCATGCAGTTACCGTATCCCTGGTAATTCTTTGCTGTTTTGCAGATCGCTTCTTTTTTTAGCTGTTATTATTTTCTTGTAGATAATATGAACCGAGTTGAGAAAAAATCCGCCCGAATTTACCCAGGTGTTTTCCTGAAGAGTAATCTGAAAGTGAGTGGCCTCTGCATTGTTAAGCCCCTCATTCGTCTTACTCATAATTTTGACAGAATTTGTTTGGCTAAAATCCTCCACTTTCCAAGAAACTAGTGGTGCATTATTTATATTCAGATTTTTAAGGAGGATTAAAACTCCATGCAAAAGCCAATGGCTTGGCTGCACTCTGCCCCCAATTCAGCAAAATCCCCTCCAACCTAAGGCACCGGTGGAATTTTTGAATGATCTTGGAAGGTTGGGGTTGGCACAGGGACACGTTTAAGGAACAGTCGGTGAGTGGAGGTTTCACCTGCGAAGTTCACTGCAGGCAACAGTGTTTTCACTGCCTTGCCTTTGGTAAAGTTTGGTTCCAAAGAAATGGATTTTTTGGTGAATTCTGCTACTAAGTGTTGAGTTAGTAATTATTTTGTCTCCTTTGAGATCATGGAATTTGCACTAATTTTTTTGAAAGGCGCTCCACAAATGAAAGAATTACCTCTACTGAATTGGCAAAAGGACTTGAGGGTTTTGTTTACTTATTGTTTGAGGGGAAACCTGTTGTTGAGAGGTGGACGGAGTTTGAATGTCTGAGTCTCTGACATTTGAACATTCCTCCAGTTCTACTTTGAAGGAGGTGGATATACCACTAGTTCATGCTGTCATTCCCAATCATGTACATGCACGATTCCTTAAGTGAATACACTGAGTAGTGTACCGGTTTGTATGTATTCCCACAGCAGAAACACCAGTGGCATTTAACAGTCCACGTGTATGTGTCTCTCGTATCCCACAAAGGCCCCATCAGTATTGTTAGCCGTATAAGGGATTTCTGGTGGAAACTCAACAAGAATGCCCGTCTGGACAACTATGCACTGATTGGCAGCTCATTGGCACTGGCATGTCTCAGCATGCAAGCGGGCAGAGCTGTTTTATTTTTAAATGTTTTTTTTTCCGAATCTCCTCTGTATACGTGGGCGTTGAGGCATCCCTGCATCTTGGAAAGGTTAGAAACTTGGCAAGCAAATTCACAAATCCTGTCGGAATGGGTGGCTCACCTTTTTACAGGCACGTGACACTTAAACCTGATATGCTGATTTCCTCTTCTTCAGAATTTTTTTTGGGGGGGCATACATGTGCCATTCCTTCTATCGGTAGCTGTATTTACCATGGCTGCACAGTACATGCGCATACATGTACATGTGGTTTTTTGCATTATTAAATGCATGTATGTATGTACATGTACATGTAACTGCGGTACTTTCAGTTTCTTGACGTCATTTCTTTTGCCTGTAATCTCCTTTAGTCATATGCTGCCCAGTATTAAACCTTTGCTTTCACATTTGCACAGTGTGTACTATTTTAATGATGTTCAAAAATAAAGCCGTCCAAATACCGGTCAAGGAGTTTTAGGTAATAGTGGTCACTCAGCTGACCCTGTACATACTTGTGACCTTGTTTTTGCCTTAAGGGTTCATGCTGGTCATTGCGTTCTTGACTGTAGCCTAGAAGACAAGTTGGGACTGTCCCTAGATTTTAACGTGCACACCTTGGGCTGTGAGATGGGTTTGCGAAATGATGGGCAGGCGACATTACATGTGCAGGTCTTGGGGGAGTGGTGGACTGTCACTCTCTCCCCTCTCCTCCCTACAGTCAAGATGTACACGAGTTGGGCCCCACGTCCCATTCACCCCACCATTGATTGCAAGAAGGCACAGTTAGACAAATTTGATTTTAGCCCTAACCCTCCTCAGTCCTCCAAAATCCTTTGTGTGGTTTTTGGAGGATTTTGGAGGATTGAGGGCGAATGGCAAAAGTGCATGGCTGATTGCCAAGGATGCCATGCATGAAGGTCGTGGATAAGACCTTGTGTTGTTTTTGCTTAGTCATGCATAAATTCAGCCCGTTATTTCTTTTGAATCAACCGCACTGCTCAAGAATGCCATTTGCACTGCCTCAACATAATGACAGGAATTGACGGAGGATTTGAAGGATGGAGGCAGTTAGGCACACCTTTAAATAACATCTCCAGGAAATTTTGGTGGATTTCAGAGGATTGAGGGAGAATCCAACTTTTTCACACACCCCCATTAGAGGATTTTGGGGAGGGTCCCTAGCAAAAAGGGCCCAGGGGGCTAGGGTTAGGGTACTAAATACCGGTATGGTAGTTACAGCAGTGGCAGTGAGCGTCATTGGTTGGTTCTCTGTGTGCCTGCAGGAAAGACAGGGAAGGTGGCGTCCCGTCTACAACAGCATGCTGGAACATGCTGGTGGACATGACGCGAAGTCAGTACAAGCAACACTCTTCATTCAGCCAGTGTCTCAACTACACCCTCTACAACAACTTTGGGTCCATCAGGGACGGCCTGGATAATGTGTACAAGAAGGTGGGTTTGACTCTGACCCTATCTGTAAGCCCTCTCCAACCCTTGCCTTCACCCCAACTCCCTCCTGATACCAACCCAACCACCGCCTCACACCATTCTTTGCTCTCTGGTGGCAGTTACAGGTACATGTACATGTAGGATAGGTTAGCATGATGGTAGTAATTTTTCACAGTAGAAAAGACCAAGTAAATGTACAAAATGGAAGCACTTGATTTCACGTACCACTACTTGCTGAGCCTTTTCCTCATCTTACATGTAACGTACATATATATGCATTTTCATTGATAAGATGCCTTAAAGTCTCTATCCTGTTTGCATAGCCCTGGACCTTTCTCCTACATTTTCTCCTACATCTCTGGGGCATCTCCAGACCTTTTTGACTCATTGTGGTTTGTGGCTCATGCGCACGCAGTCTTCACAGTGTGAAGCGTGCGCATGAGCCACGAACCACAGTGAGTCCACAGTGCCTTTACCCCGTCGAGCTGTTGAATCACAGAACAGCTGCCTTTGGGTATTTTGTTTAATCTCCAAAACCCGTCTATGGTATAGCAGGAGAAAGGATACAGAAGTACCCAGGCCTTGTAAAGAAATGGCAGACCGTCCAGTTAGTACCGGTAACTACTCAGTTCGATTCATTAATTTCAGCTCTTACAAGCTCCTTGTGATGCAGGTGTCCTACATTTCATGCACATAAGCACTGAAATATCACCGAAGAAGCATTTTAAGGGACTGCATGTGAACGTAGACACACGATTCAATTAACTAGTAGTTAGACTGGTTGTTTTAATCACCTCTGTACTTGAGCAAGAAAAAAAATTGCTCCTCTAATACCTGTTGAATCGTGAACATCATAATTACTTTTGGCAACTGCCATTCTCCCTCCAATTAGTGTCATCATGCTGACAACGTGGCACCACGCCGATGGTAGTTCTGGAGGAAAAACCCAACTCTAATGACTCAGTCGTGTACATGTATGAAAAGCCACTGTGTAATGACTGACCATGTGAGCGCGTGACTCATCAGGGCATTGCCGAGCCACTGTTTGTAATCAAAGTGCTTTCAGAGTAGTAGATACCTGTTACTTCATCTTTCCTTTTATCTTGGAGACAAGGACTCCTCATGTTTGAATGACCCTTGGCGCCATGCATGGAATTATTTTCGCTTCAAGACCTGACTTGATTTAGGACAGCCTGGGGGTTGGACAGTTTGTTTTAAAAGTGATGGATATTCAGATGAATGGAAGTTGAAATTTGCTGAAAGTGGGACATTATGGATGTTGTGGTTAGCGGTTGTTGCCCATATGGGGGAAATTCATGTGGCTCAGTGCTCCCTGGCCCTGTTTGTTAAATCTTCATTTGAACTGTGACGTGTCTGAAGAAAATAGGAGGTGACAGTTTGATTGCATGAGCTGTGTTGGGTCCACTGGAATTTAAGGAAACCTGGAGAATGAATCAGATGGTGTGAAAAGAAGTTTTGTTTACTGCTCGGATAAGATAACATCCAACAGAAATTACTTAAGTGATGGATCTTGCCAGATTCAACTTGTAAGGTTTTGCCTCTTTTGTCAGATTACAAGAAATGTGCTTGATTCATGGTTGCATTCTTAATTCCGTATAGATACAATTTAGTTGTACATGCACATACAAAACTTGTTGTACATGTACATGTATGTTACGTACTATACATAAATGTATACCGTAGTTAGGTTCTTACAGGAAGTACATGTACTTACATTTTTGAAAATCAACTGGAAGTCCAAAAAGTACGGTACAAGCAAGTAAAGAAAAAAAACTTCATGTGGTAGGCTTGCAGGGAACAGAAGACTCTCTTTCGCAGTTTCAAGCGAGTGAACTTCAAGAGTTCCACAACAACAGTCCATTTCTTGTTTAATACCGATTTCTTAAAATTTGTTTGGAGTGCATTTGAAATGCAAAGTGTACATGTATGTACATGAATACATGTATGCGTTTACTTAGGTACATGAAGGATCAATTGATTTGAAAGAACTTCCTCGTTCTGAAGTCAGTACTGTACATGTAAATGTACATTGTACTTGTAGATGTAGGGGTATTTATTACAGATTTTTAAGACAATTGTTAAAAAAAAGGATGGAAAAAAAACAAAACCCCAAATTACCAGCAGGCCAACTATGGGTACATACATTTGAAACTGCACTGTTGAAACTCTCATTTAAAATTAGTACAACTGTTTGGTAAGCCTAGGCTGCTTTGTGGTTGCATTTATGTTGTCTTTGGCCAATAATGTCACCAAGGATTTGTTGATGTGCGGGGATTATTGTCATTCTATGACCAGAAAATGGAGTGTTAATTCTATTTTTTTCCTCCAGCAAATTTGCTAGTTAGGCGAGGGCCACTTGTTAGGCGGCCTGGCTTCATGCCTTTACCTTATGTACTGTAAATAGTAAATCCTCGTTTTGTTTGCCACAGGAAGGAATCTGTAGGTTTTTCATGGATGGCTGCTTTACAGCTGGGGTCTTACACTTTTTTGCATTTTGCTGGTGTACTTGTAGCTGTATTCATGCAAAATGGAGCAGTTCAGTTATTCATTGAAGGTTTCATCTGCTTGGACATGTCTTTGGCTGTGATCCAAGGGACTAAAAATTGAAAAAGTTCCTGCCAGTACTTAGCATTCCATCTTGGTTATTCTGCCATGTGTCTGCATGTGGATTACTTTCCACCTGCAAAAAGCCCCTTGGTCACTTAAAATCTGTAGTGGCATGTCCTCTCAGAATCTCACAAGGGCGTCCTTCAATTGACCTTATAATCTGATGCACCAGCCCTGGCACCAGGGATCCACAAAATTTTAGTTTGTAGACTATTCATCATTTCTGGTAATGACACCAAAGATTCCTCAGATATGCCCCAGGCACTGTAGCTCGCATGCCTGAAGAAACCTGTGGAGAGGAGACAATGAGAAGCAGTTACCGTTTTAGGGGTGGGAGGAAAATCCCAGAGGATATTCTGGGTAGAACCCACAGAATCAGGTAGGGACTGAAAACCCAAACCACATGTGGACCGGGCTGGGATTCGAACCGGGACCACAGAGGTGGAAGGTGATGAAAGAACCACTACAAGAAGTTGACTCCCAACCTGAAATGTACATTGTCAAGTCACACATGTGCGTCCTTGATGTCATGTATGTGTTTGTGTGTATAGCAGTGTAGAGGCACGTATGCTACATGTAGATCAAAACTACAGTTTACATTACAGTGGCCACAGGACTTTTCTGTGACATAAAATTGACAGAGTAATTCAAGAGTCTCTGTACCTTTTACTAAAAAAAAATCCAATGTACAGTGTACATGTACAGGTTTACTCAGCATTGATGTGCAAGCACAATGTTGGTACTACGCCATGCTTCTTTTGTTAGAACTGGTAACCAGGAACCTTGTAACCGGTACAGCCGAACCTTTTCAACATCCACCATCTCTACTGTAAATACAGACATTTTGGGCTTATTCTGTTTTTTTCTATCTTTCTATGGTCTGACAAAGAATGCACAGTGAAATCAGTAAACGTGTATAAGGTAAAGAGGTTGAACTCTCACCCTGTCAGCCCCCCCCACCCCCTCAACAATCCGGCACCTGTACACTCGGCATTCAGTCAACTCTGGTGAGCCCCAGACTGGTATTAACGTGATACAGGGCTTGGTGACCCAGTTCAGAGATTAAGTGGAGAGAATGCACCCGAGCATTTTTTAATACTTCACGGTGCTGGCTTTTGCTGTAGTCGGGGTGGTTTGTTGCAAAATGTGCGGCAGAGACTGATTCAGCTCTTCAGAGAGAATTGTACGGTGCAAAAACGAATGAACGAACAAATTGCAAGAATGCTGAACATTTATCTTGCAGTTCTTACACCGAGATGAAACATCCCTCTAAAGCTGTGTTCAAAATGAGACCGCAGATGTCATCAGCATAAAGTGCGTAGCCCATATGTACAAGAAACAGGTTTTGAAGTACATGTACATGTGTTCTGTGAGGGAAAAAATACTGGGAGGAAAAAGTAATAATGTAAGTACATGTACACTGCGCATGTACATGTATACAAAGACTAACATGAACAATGCCACATGCTAACCATGCATGTAATGTTCATGTACATTACTGTACATGATTCATTTGACAATTCATTGAGTACACATGTGGACACATTCAGTGACCGTGCTGGTGCTACATGTATCACTGCCATTACACTTGTCTCCCTCGCCCCCCGCCCCTCCCCACCCCGTCTATGGCAATTAGCATTATGGTGACTAGTATACAGAGCCACTGTTCTACCATTATAGGGGACCATTTCCAGTGGATTCCTTTTTACCCTGTTCTCTTTCAAAGTTCCACATACAATAAAGCGCTACATGTACTAGCATAGTGTACAGTGTACATACAGCAGAAGACTGGAGCAGGAAGTAAATATACCTTATGCTGGTAGAAATTTTGTATTGAGGGAGGAAAAATGGCATTTTGTTTGCACCAAAGGCGGGGCAGGTGTAAGTGTTCAACAGTGCATGAAAGAAAAATAAAACCCGGAAGAAAATGGTCGCCGGGCACATGTACATGTACATGTACATGCATACGTGTATATGAGTTGTATGAGAGTGGTGTCATTGCAGGTTTCCAATGCGAAATGTGATTCGTGGTACACCGACATACAGAGTTTGTAGAAAACCAAAGGCTCTCCCTGCTGTTTTGAAAAGTTCCTTTACAAATTGATGAAAGAGACGGAAATAAGAGCATTGAAATTAGAAATGAATATTCTCCAAATTTGTGTCTTCACAAGGCTCAATCCAGTGGGATCTCTGCTGTGGGCATGCACATGTTTGTACATGTAGCGTCTGCCGCTATCAGACTCAAATATCGAGAGCACACATTGCACAGGGCTCGGACTGCCCCAGTACCATGGCCTATTTGATCAGCAAGTTACCAATGCTTGCATATACAAAAAGTTGTGTACACATGCGCGTGTACATTGCATATGAAATTTGAAACTTAACTTCCTTTTCCAATTGTAGATCTTGTGTTAATGGTTCCTGTCAGGTTTGAAATTTGATCATACATCTTTGTATGGCTTTTCCATACGATGGGTATGCAAAGGGATATGTTTGGTCAACCTGCATTTCCCTTACGTATGGTACTCATGCACCTATGTTCATGTCCCAGTACACGAGAACTGCCCGTAAAAGCATGTGTACCAGCACATCCGACATGTACATTTTGAAGATGGGAGAAAATTTATGTGTCTGGCACAGCATCTCTGTGTAAATGATGCAAGTATGTACATGTACTGGTACATGTACAGGCACCGCTTGATAAATCAAGTTAGCATTCATGAAATGCTGCGGTAGGGAGCCGTATCCAGTAGGCATTGCAAGAAAACCAGGCAATGCGCTCACATTTTGTGTCTCCCTCATGCACGGTCACATCTGAGGCGAGATCTGGTTTTCTCATCAGCCCCAGCTTGGCTGGTCAGAGAACCGCTTCGGCAGAAAATTTGTCTGACAGAAACAGTTTGGTTGGCATAGATTATTAAGGGGGAGGGGGGGGGTTGGTGCTGCATAAAATTACAGGTACATGTACATTGTACATGTTGTACATGTACATGTGTGTACTTGCACATGGGCAAGTCGATATGACTACATGTTGCAGAGTTTTCCTTGGAATTCTAAGGCCATGAGAAGACAGACTTTGTGAGGATAGTAAGGGTTGAATTACGCATGTACATGTAATTTGCCAGGCATTAGGTGGGGAATTCATTTCAGGGGCTTGTTGCAATTGTTTGGCAGAAGTTTGTCCATTTTTGCCTACGTGGTCTTGAAAATTCCAATGTGAGCAAATTTGTGGGTCTTGAACAGGGGGTTGCATATTTCTGTATGTGAATTAGTTTTTAGGATGTACATGTGCCTAAGTCAGCTCTTTCCATTGTAAAATGTGCGCTTTAGAACATACATGTACAGTGTACAAAATTTACATACAAGTAGGTATTGCATGTACATGTATGTAGATCACGTTCATGTACATACATGTACTGGTAATCTACACGAATAGCAACGATCACATAGGTTTCGATCACATTCTTCTGACATGTACGTGATACCCAGTGCTGTAAAGATGAACTCTGCACATTTGATGTGGTTTTTTTTTTCTGTGTGTGTAGATACAAGCAGCGGTATGTTTTAACATATCGAGTGGAAGTGTTCCAATTTTGCATTATATACATGTACATTGTACTGGTACATACTGTACCCAGCACATTTCACATGGGAATCCTTGAATATGGATTTGAATAAGACCAAAATATGAATATACATGGATGCTTTCAGTGTCCTGCGTAGACGGTGATTGGTTTAAAAGCTGGAGGTCAAGGGCCTCTACAGTACACATACATGTAGATAGGTACATGTAGTATTATTTTGGACTTTTTTTTCCCACTTGTCAGATGTTTATATACCCTCAGTGTACAGCAAAAGAGTGGCATACCAGGAACAACCACAATTTGCTGTGGTGTACAGGCGTGCCAGGTCCTTGTCATTAATTTAAGTTTCAGATGTCTATGGTTGAATCATTTACATGTGTGTGTGGGAGACGCACCAATTTACCCAAATAGTTTTGAAATCCTGCGGTATCAAATATGGCTTTCCCGAACCCCCTTGGCATTTTTACCGGGGAGCATTTCTTACACATGTAATTGTCGAACCTTCACGCCGCATTAGCAGTGGTTAAACTTTCAAGGGGCCTCAAGACCGATTAGAAGTGCTCAGATTCTACCTTTCGTCAACCCTGCAAATCTTTAAAAAAAATTCCCTGACTGATTGTGAAGGATGCAGGACATTAACAGTTTCTTCCAGATCCAAGTAACAATGTGATATAATGTTTTGATTGCAATGTTTCATATTGCAGAGCCGAGAGATGATGGTTGAGGTGCACACAGAACTCCTGAGGGTCATGAACGAGCTTTATGCCGTGAGTCCAGTCATCTTGACTTAAATATGCTTACACTTGTATGTATAGTGAATTTTTGTCTGATGTCCCGCACAGAGTGCTAAGGAACACTTATCGATTACGAAGGTACTCACTGAGTGCCAGTGGAACAGACGACACTATGCGTGTATTTCATTTTCATTACAGCATGACCAAGAAAAACTTTTGAAAAGCGGGGAGTGTTACACAGTCAACGTGAGCTAGGACTTCATTTTTAACCCTAACAGTTCTTCTTAAAATTTGGCTTGCAGTACTCCGTACTACCGGTACCAAATACTAAGCAGTAGTCTGAGCCTGAAGGACCTACATGTAGCCCTACAAATTACTACTTCTGGCTAGGTTACTTCCATTGTTACTTGTACAGAGAACAATAAAGCCATGCATTCATAGTGCCACAGCACTGTATGGTACATTGTCTTATCTAACATTTAGGTCATGTCCTCTTGCAAGCGACAGGACTGAATACTACATTTTACTACTAAGTAGTACTTTGTAGTATTCAGGGCCGTAAGGGTTAACGGATCCATTCCTTTTTCCTGATAGACCCCAGTACATACATGTATGTTCTGTGAACATTGCAGCCATTTTGTCTTATTCCCTCTTTTTTATAACTGTCTAATTAACTGGTGGTATGCGTTTACAGGATATCAAGTCCTACCACAATGCACACAGTGAGGAGAAAGTTCAGGAGGCTAAACTCAGACAGGCAGAGAACGAAAAACTCAAGATGGAGGAGAAGGGCTCACACAAACGGAGCAAGACGGTGGACAAAAACTATGACAAGGTAAAGCAGGCATATTTGTCTACATGCGTACATGTACTTAAAAAGTTTGTGAGTTGAGGGCATGAGATGTCTGATGAAACGTCAGTTATTAGAGGGATCAAGAAAGCCCCATGACATTGTCCAAGGATCTTACCCCACCCCCCCACAGTCATCCCTGCTACATGACACTAAATAAGGCATGCAGGTTGTCCAAACATTATTAGAACCCCCAAAACACTCGTATCTATTTTTGTTTTTACCTCAAAACAACCGATGTACATGTAGGTTTTGCCGTACTTTAACCTTTCCTGACGCTTGTAGATCATGAAAATTGGTCTAGCTACATGTAAACTTAAGATACACCTGATTTGATTCTGTAAGAGGTGACATTTTTGTACTTTGGGCAAAGCGGAAAAAAATGGCTTCCTTTGTTACCGGTAGATGTGCATCATGAAATGCTGGTTTAGTCCACTAATAAGAAGTACCTGTACATGTAAGCACTTACTTTGGCAATGACGACCTTTGTTCCCATTGAAGGCCTGGATACATGTGTCAGAGGTTATCAACCATCTCATTGGTGGAACTCTTCAAATTAGATTTGTAAATGCTTTGTCCACAGCAATCATATCATCCTATACGATACTTAGTGCTTCTGTAGTCACAGAGAGTGTGTATGAGATCCACTCTGTCAAAGGTTAAGATGTTACAGAGCAGGTGTTATAAATAAAATGCGGGGTTTTTTGTGTGTTTGACATCCAAAGTGTTGTGCAAACTGCAATTGACATTTGGTACCACTTGAGTACCTACATGTATGGTAAGCCTAAATAAGGACTTTGGTAATATGTACAGTTGACTGTGATACTTGGTAAAAACACTCGCAAATGTTGAAGCTCATTTTTCCAATGTGGAACATGAACAGTGCGTCTGAAGCCAGAAGGAGGTAGTAGTTTGTGATTAAGAAAAATTTGCTCTCTGCTGCATGAGTATCTGGGTGTCAGACTGCACATCAGAAATTCCGTGAATTAAAATAGGGACTGAAAAGTCAATTGTATTGCCTTGGACGGGGTTCGAGCCTGAGTCAGAAAGGTGGAAGGTACAATGTACCATAGCGTCAACCTGACACTAACAAATTTTTCCAAATTTGCGGAGCAACACTTGAAATTCTGGTTGGCAGGTCCTTCCAAATTTGCCCCTTGTGGGGATCTCGTATGTCGCTGAATACTCTTTCCCACGGCGTCAGATTGAGTGTCCGTCAGTGGAATTTGAATGAGTAACTCCAATGTTATTAATCTTTACAGTGACAGCTCAATTCACTGCGGACCGCGCAGGGCATGCCCGCTTTGCCGTGAAAATTACACTGTCAGCCTCGATGCACGAAACTGCACAGCCGTAATTTATGTGTCGATATTCGAGCCTGCTGTCAGTTTTTTTTTTTAAGACATTACCAGGGCACATTGTGAATCCACACTACACAGGGCAAGGCTCGATAGCCATAATTCATTTTTCAGAATTGCATGGATTTGAGTTCTACATCTATGTCAATTTGAGGAGGACAATTTTTTTTCAAATTTGTAGACCTGTGAGCTCATCTATGACGATCTTCAACCAGAAAATTATTATGAAGTGTGTGTGAAATGAATGACCATGTGCATGTACATGTGCATCAGGACTGAATGTGACAAATGCCGTGGGAAGTACTGGTGTGTTTGTAACTCATGCCTGTATGGTAGAGTTTTGGAATGAAGACTAGTAATGCATGCATGTAATGTACAATTACGGTACATGTACAGTATGTCCATGCCCTATTTTGACCAAGCTAAATATCTGTTCTCTTTGGATGAATTTGAAGCTACTGTACCTATGTAGCCTGAAAATGTTCACTATCTAGTGGTAATTTTACTTTCACTCAGGACACAAACAGTTCCAGATGCAAGTCTTGACAGCCAATAAAATTTTTTTCTATTGTATCACCTCATGTTGATCGAGAAATTGTTTCAGGAAGGAAGACCCATTTCCCCCGTCCCTGTGGGAATTATGGTGAATGAGCTCATTGGATTACATATTTGGCCATCCAAAACAATGGCTCGTGCCACTGTCACATGACGCTCACCCGCCAGGGTCATTCATTGATTGTCAAGGCTTGCAAAATTGCTACGCCCAGCATTTTATGCATAAAATACTGGAAGTTCATTTGGTGACATAGAAAATGGACAGTATTGGAGAAGGATGTTGAAAACAGCAGATACATATATGTTGGGGAAGGGCACTGTGGTAGTTTATCCAGTGTAAAATTTACAGGGTGAAGCGGATCTGTGTTAACTACAGGTTTGTTACAGGGTGAAGTAGTAACAGCTGGGGGATGGGAGTCCCAGGTCAGGAAATCAAGAAGCTCTTTACACAAGTTGATTGGTGTAGGAGACGGGTTTATTGCTGGTGAATCAAGTTGATTTAAGACAGCTGCAGTGGTGAAATAACTTTTAAGACATATCCAGTTGGCTAAAGAGCCGTCTTAAGACCGCTCTTAAAACACCTGGATTCTTTGGGATACAGTACAAAGCCGGTTTACGTTGCGGAAAGCTCAAACTTCTGCCTTTTTCTAGGACGAATCTTGACCCTCAAATCCGGTGCTCTTGAAGTTGTGGCTCAGAAAGTGAAAAGCAAGAATTCTATCTCGAGCCGCATCACTCTTGTGATTATTGCGCATAAAAAGTACCGAGAAAATGAACCTCCTAAGATATACATAGATCCATGGATTGACTTACTAATTATCTGCTTATGTTTCCAAACCATAAAGAAAAATGTATTTGCCAAATGATCAATCAATATATAATTATGGGCACATTATGAGGACTTTAATTCAAGGTCCTACTTGTCATGGCGAACTTCGCCTGGCGTAAGAGGGACGCTATACAGCAACATTAAAGGAGCACGCTGAACCACTGGATAAACCAGCGCATCTGAGCCATATCCCCACATTAACAATGAAGTCTTTCCCGCTAACCCTCTTCACTTTTTTTAAATTATAGGCACGGAGGTCATCAGGTTAAATTTTAACTGAAATTGAAATGAGGCAGAATGATGCAGGATCTGGCACAATAAAAATGCATGATTCTTTGGTTGTGAAATTCAGCTGATCTTCTAAAATGAGATTCTCAGAGAGTTTGATAGAAGTTTTAGGGTTGAGGAGTCCCTGCGCCTCTTTGAATAACTTGGGAAGATATTGCCGGAAATGCATTTGTTTCTATTTCAGTCGATTTTGGCTTTTTATGTCATCTTTGTGTGCAGTGTTCAGTCAAACACCACGATAGTTCAGTCAAAGCCACCAAGGCCAGGAATGACTACATCATCGCCGTCGGGGCGGCCAACGCAAGCATGGACAAATTCTTCCAGACAGACTTGGATAAGATTGTAGACGTGAGTCATTGTGAACACCTTTACTTTCTGAATGCCACTGCAACATTGAACATGACACACCCTCACTAGCAAGTTAGCAATCAGGCTAGTTAGCGAGCCTGTAGCATTGTACACAGATGAGGCCGGTAAGACATGCGTCACAGAAAAACAAGTAATTAATGCAACAGTTGAAGAAATCAGGATTCGAACCAGCACGTAATGGTTCTGTTTGAACTTAACTAGATGCACTTATGCCCCAAGAGGTGGAAATGTGGTATTGTACATGTACATGTAGCATTTACCAGTGTGAAAAGCACCATGTTACACAGTTCATTCAGACTTCAGTGGCAGATGACAAACTGTGAGAGTCTAGAACTAGATCCTCTGTGCAGGAACTTCAGATTGTTTCTCTGTGGAAAAGCCATAATGACCAGTGAAAGATATACGTAATCGTGTGCATACATGGCCCTTTAGTGTAGGGTGTGCACGACCAATTTTCCGTAGAATGTGCACAAGCATTCATGTAGCATCCATGTGTGAGAGAAGTACTTTTAAAATGTCAAAGTTTTTTTTTTGTTCGGTTGGTGGGGGATTAGGGGCTTAGTTTGCAGAGTCGAGTCAATATATAGTAATAACGGCTTGAATCAGATATATATTTAGGCCTCTGGCTCATCTGTACTCATCTGGCATCATTTGGTCATCCCCTTGCCTGCGCTCACCTTCATTCCTCCCCAGTGCCTGGACCTGAGGTACATCCAGCTGGTGCGCAAGGCCCTGAAGGCTTTCCACACGGCCGAGGTACAAGTGCAGACGCTACAGCAAGATGAGCTGAGGCGGCTTGAGCTTTGCATGCGCCGACTCAGCTCCGAGGAGGACAAAAAGCTCTTCCTGCAGGTCAACTTCCAGCCGTTTGTCGGGCCGGCGACCTTCCAGTTTCAGTCTCACTGTGGGGACAAGGTGAGATTTGTTTGGTTTTGGGATTTTGTCCTTTTTTTTTTCTACACTGGGCGGATCTCTGCGGAGCTTGGCCTAATGGTTAGGGTTTGTGACTTGTGATGACAGGGTGAGGGGTTCGAATCCAGCTGCTGGCTATTTCATGAGTCCTTGGGTAACCTAACTACCCCCAACTGGTCTTTGGCCTTCCAGAAGTGTACATTGGTACTGAAAGTGCATAACCCGTAACGGACTGGCATCCACAACGACTGAGAACAGAAACATTCCCAGTCATTTGTCCCAAAGAAACCAGTGATAAACACAAGTGTGATGAGCCATTATCAGCTCTTGACAGACTTGCTGAACCCATTTTTTACCTAAGAACACTCACAAAGGCAACTTTTCATTTACTAAAATCTTAAGGAAATTCTCATTCCATATTCCCAGTCATTGGTTTCCCAGTGGGACATTCCTGGCACATCGACCTCTAGCCTCGATAACTCAAGTAACAGATGACTAGAGCTGTAAGATTACTGTAGAGCAGCTGCACTGGTAAAAAAAAAAACGGCTTCTGGATCATTGCTGTGGTTACGGTTGGTTCCATATCTTCTTGATCTAAGGAACCGAAATGTGAAATTCCCCACATCTTATCTTTGTGTCAGATTCATTCACTGACGGCCCAGCATCAACTGCAGAGTGACCTGGAGCATCGCTATGAACTTCTGTATCGCACTATTGCAGCCCTCAAGATTGAAACCGACGAGGTAAGATTTTCTAATCGAATTTTGAACAACACTTGCAGGATCGGACTGTTGGCTTATGGTCCCAAGAACACTGAAGTTTTCCACTGATTTGGGGGAAGTATGGGTCACTTTTCTGAAGGTACAACTATTTGGGAGGGGGCAGGAAGGGGAGATGTTGAATACAACAAGTGAAGCATCTTTCAGATGTTGGAAATTCCTCAAAAGGGTGTTTTTGGCATCGTGTTTCGGCTGTTCTGGGCACCCTGGTTACATTTTTGAAAGTGCTTTAAGATCTGCTCTCAAGGACAGATTTACAGCCTATACCATTGACGTGGGGTGTTACACAATACCAACTACATGGCTCACCACAAAAAGAAGTCAGTGGATGCATGCTTTATAGATTCCTAAACTTGCACTTTGTTGAAGATAAGACTTCAGCAGTCTTTTGAGGATGCAACTCGGCCCGGGGTGGGGAGAGCAGACGTATCGCACACTGGAAATGCTGCGATTACATGGCCATCAGTAAAAGTTGTTGTCATTCATTCTCCTTATTTTTGTGTCATTAATTGAATTTGATTTTTCCTCTGTCTCTTCTCTAGATCCAGAAGACCCTGAAGGAGGTGGAGCGCAACTGGACGGAGGACGAAAGCAACCCCAGCGAGGACGAAATTGTGACCCAGCTGAGGTCCGTCCGGAGGATGGTGGACTCCGTCTCCACCCCAGACCTCAACCGGGTGTCGTCCATGAAGAGACAGCGTGCGCTCAAGCAGGAGACAGAGATGTACTATCTGGAGGTGTGTCCCTTCTTCTCTCTCTCTCACTTTCACTGGTGTATCATTGCTCTAGGTTTAGGAAAAGGGTTAGAGGAGAGATTTGCATTTACAGATAAAAGCGCAGCGTTGTTTCATTACCAGAGAAAAATACACCGTCTGATTCCATTCCTAACTTTAGTCATCCTAGTCTCTAAACCACCCCACCCTTCTCCTACAGGTATTGCCCATTCTCACTCCCCCCTGACCCCTCCCCCCCCAGTCTGCATGTAATGTTTAGCCCAACGGTGTAATCCAACAGTCGACAGGAGTTGATTTCTTTATGTTGTGATGTCATTTTTTGTGTATCTTTTCCTTTTTTTGTCTTGGTAGAAACAAAGGGAGTATCTACAGAAGAGCAACAGACTAACTCGCATGAAGGCCAGGCAGGATCTCATACGCCAGGGGCTAGGACTGAGTGAGTTGCTCTTTTATTTCTCTGGCTGTGAACTCCCTGAATTCTTTCCGGTGAACGTTCTGGGTATCGGTAAACAAAAAATTTCAGCCAAGTATTAATTTTGCATCACAGTTCCTTTCCTAGCCTTATCTATCACTGATTCCCACTCCACTTGGAGATTTGAAGGGTTTAAGAAAACTATTAACAGTTTCTTGGACAAAGTGCTTAGTTTGAATTTGCGGACTTTCAGTGAGACGTTGCATTGTCTGTGTTTAATTTCTTACAGGTGATTCCGATACAGAAAAGCGGTGGTAAGAGCCTTATGATTAGAGAAAAATTCCAACAATTTATGGTGTATAAGTTTTCATCACCAGCGATCAATTTTTGGTGATAGAAAGGCTTGAGAAGTCGCCATGAAAATTGCAAGTGAAATCATGGTAGAGAAAAATGAAAGAGTGATTGGAAACAATCTATCTGACACCCTGAATGAAGTTGAAATAAAAATATAATGAGGAATCAATCTCTGGATTACCAATACTGTAGATAAACTTAATCGTGAAATTGGTACTCATTTTGCTTATGAAACACTGCAGTTGTCTGTATGAAAACCATTTTGTATGCTCAGACAGCAAGCTGTGGGCATTTTGGAAACACTTCAAACAAAGGTTTGAGAAGATCAGTTTTGCGCACTCGCCAGCCATTGTGTTGGTGTTAAACGTCAGTCAGTTTGGGAATGTACATGTACCCAACTCTTTGCAATGTGTTTCTGTGTTTGTGGAAATCAGCCACCCGGCCACCACTTTACAACGGCGACAGAAGCCGCGGCCCAAGTCAGTACATAACGCCCGCCTGTTCGGAGGCAACTTGCAAGAGTACCTGGAGGTAAGTGGACTGACCCGAAGGGCTTTCAAACTGTCTCTTCCCCAAATGTAGAAAGAATTCATTGTGAATGAATCCCACGAGATAATTCTTCTCGGCCATATTTCGTTGGAGTTACCTTGAGAAAGAGCAAACCATGCTCTCTGGTTTGATGTTTTAGACAGTTCTACTTCCTTATGAATTTACACATTGTGTGGGTGAAAGACGTTCAGTGTTCCCATCTCTTTGAATACATTTGAAAATGGCCGAGGTGACCTGCGATCTCAGGAGTTTGAGTCACAATTTGGTTGTTTCATTACCACCAGTAACATTCATCTGAGCTTGCCCAGTGTTGATCAGAAGTTGTGATTTAGTAACTGGCAAGCCTCCAGAAATTCCCCTGCTGTTTGTGTAAGAAATCATGCCAGAATGCTGCAGTGGGATGATTGGTTGCCGGAGTGGATCTGGAAAGCTGTTTACCTTTTGTGGTCCAAACTCCACGACATTCAAACATTGTGTTTCAGTTTTCCCTTCTCGTTTGTTCTTGTCAGATTACTAAGCGTGACATTCCAACCGTTGTACAAAGCTGTATTGAGTGTATTTCCTTGTATGGTGAGTACTAATTTAGACACACCCCCCAGAAAAAAAATCTAATCATGGTTGTGTTCAGGTATTGAAACCGAGGTTCATTTCGCCCTGGTTGCTTCATTTGCTGTCAATGTAGGGCCCTGTGAGCTGAAAGTGAAACTAAAAGGAAACGAAATTAAAACAAAGAATTATCGATGACTCTCAGCTTTTGTAAATGTTCCATTTCCTGGAAATTGAGAACTTTGCATTCTTAGGTAAACTCACATCTTGGTCAGTTTAAAAAAGTTGATGTGTTATTTGTCTACAAGAAGGATATTAGTCGAGGCCAGGGAGGTTAAATTTGTGTTATCAAAGCTTATTCTCTTTTATAATATATGGTAATTTATGTGAATGTTTAATTTTGTTTTACTCTTGTACCAAACATGCACGACACTTCCTTTCAATCCCTTTATTATCAATATCAGTACTTCTTGTTAAGGACAAGTCAAACAGGCGTTGTGAAAAAATGTTCCCATTGTGTTCAACTTTTGCCCCTTGACAGGTTTGCATCACACGGGTATCTTCCGAATGCCCGGGTCTCATCAAGAAATCACTGAAATGAAGGAAGCATTTGACAAAGGTGAGCAGAGAGCAGAGTGCTTGGTAGACCACGGCTGTCTGCCGACTTTGTCCAGTCCCAAACTTCAGTGATTATCATGTCCAGCCTCCAGTTGACGCCTGGACTTTTTTTCTGAAAGCCGATTCTGAGAATTCCAGCCTCGCTTGGCCACGAAGGCCACCTGCCAAACCGCAAATTCTCGGTTTGTGGCCCTGCGTGCTCTGCACGCTTTAATTTACACAGTGAAAAGGCTCATTGTTCGGTGGCATGCGGCTCTACTCACGCTTCCACACTCCCGTAGCCTCTTTTCAAAGTGGGACTATTGTGAAGCTGGTGATTATGATGCAAATTCGGCCTTTTCCTTTCTTGGCAACACTCAAAGGCCAATCACCATATATACAAGAGCCAGGGTCTGCCTTCTATCACCGTGTTCGCTTGAGCGTGGGCCGAGAATAACAGCTGAAAAGCGGGCTGAGGGATTTCAATTTTTATGGTGTATCTTACTGCTTCCCGATGAGAAGGGGTTAAAATCCCTAATGCAGTCGCTCTCATGGGCTCTTTTAACAGGGGACGACCCATTTGAAAACCTCGATGAGTTGGCTGACATCAACCTGGTGGCCAGCGTCCTCAAGCTGTACTTCAGGGAGCTCCCCGAGCCACTGTTCCCGACAACGCTCTTCCCCCAGTTCATGGAGTGCGCCAGTAAGTCACAGTGGAATGATAACTTCCAGCCATGCCATGTTTTTCCTCAGACTTTTATTTATGGTCTTTCTTGGGGGTAAGGCTATAGTTTAGGTCTTTTTATTACTTTTGGAAAGAAAACAAATTACATAATTTCCAAAAGAGCTTTTTTTCTCATAATTTTTTTCAAAAACAAAACATTGTGCTCCTTTTAAGGTTGCCCGAAGCCTCTTTGGCCCCCCCCCCTGCCATCTCAGCCAAGAGTCTGCATTAATGCTGTGCTTTTGTCACTGAACGGGTGGATCGAAATTCAGAAACTACAACTGCTGCCCTTTGGAAATCCCTGTTACAGGTCATTGCACTTCAGTAAGGAATAGATAGAAATCTAAGTTATTGTTCATGTAAAAAAAAGGGCCAGCGTCACTGTTGGGATTGCTGTTTTGTGTTTTTTCCCCAGCAATATTGCGATGCTGTCTATATAAGGAATGGAAAAAAAACGCAGACATCTGCGATATCTGTTTGCCTTAAGCGTATTTCCTCTGAAATGAGTTCCCGCTTTCTGACTTCAGCAAGTGGACTGAAAAAGTGAAATGTCTTTCTAATGGTAGAAAAATTCCGGGACGCCGAGAGAATACCAGAGTTGAACAGACTAGTGAAGGAGCTACCCACCAGCATCATGATAGTAATGCGCTACCTGTTTGCATTCCTCAAAAGGTAGGCATGGAGAATATGGGAAAAAAGTCACAATTTGGGGATGGTCCACTGAGTTAGGCTAGAAACGTCTTCATAATAAAAATCAACCCCTTATCAGTTACAAAGAATAATATGCTCTTGACCAAATTCATGAAGGGCATGTATTCATTATCTATGTGTTTTTCCTGGTACGTGAATTTAGTGGTATGCCCAGCTTTCAAAGCGAGATTGTATTATGCTCTTGTTTGATTCATTTTCTGGGAGCCATCTGAGCTCCCAAAGGAGACAAGTGTCTTCTTTATAGATAATTAAAGAGAACAATGCCAGTTACGGGCGTGATAGGGGATCTCCAACAATTTTATGTTGGAAGAAAAAACCTCTTAAATTGGGTGTCTAGCTACCGGTAGCTCAGTGCGCAAAGTGCACACAGAGAGATTGGAACACCAAATCAATTGATTAAGAGTGAAAAAAAGCAACTTCCAAGGTGACCACCATCTGAAATGACAGTCTTGTTCAGATGGACCGTCTTTGTAACCACCCCCCCTCCCGAAACAGGCTGGCCCAGTACAGCGACGAGAACATGATGGACTCCCACAACCTGGCCGTCTGCTTCGGCCCTACCCTGATCCAGCAGTCTGAGTCGGACGAGGACATCCTGCTATGGCAGAGCCACATCAACGACCTGATCCAGACCATGATCGTCTTTCAGGAGGACATCTTCCCCCAGGAGCCCGGCACGCTGTATGAGGACCCGTCCATCACTGACCTCAGGTGAGCTATCAGTTGTGGGGGGTTGGGACATTTGACAGAACTAGCTGCTTTCCAAGAAGTTTTATTGGTTTATGGAAAAGATGTTTGCTCTGGTATTGCCTCAAAAGTTCACAGGTGCACTTCATTTATCAAAAACTGTTTGTTCCTGATTGGGACTTGCCATATGTTCCCAGTAGGAAATCACTTTTCCCAAGTTTGCATGCACAGTAACAAACCACTGTTCCCAGTCAGGAACACGCATTGTTCTAAGAAAAAGAACAGCGGGTGGTCCCAATATGGATAATTTGCAATACAGTACACCACTAAGCGGTGGCCATGGAGCAGCCATTTTTTTTTTCAGTCAACATAATCATGGCCGGATTGCTGGCATTACATTTTAGCAGTTTGCATTTCAAGGTGTATACATCAGTACACAGTTTGACAAAATTTTGATACATCAGGGCCTTCATTGCAGTGAACATCAGAAAGGAGTATTAAGACTGATATTGGAAATGCACTTGCAAATCATCTACCCGTACAAATGTCGGGATTAATCCAAGTTCCCTGTGTGCAGCTGGCAAATGGAACTCGTTGACCATTTCCCCACAATGCACTGCAAAAATTGGCCTCTCTATGGAATCCATTGGTGGCGCCACTGTGTTGTTCCGATGTTCCATTAGCAATAAAACTGATTATTAGCCAAAATTTCATGCCCCAGCTTGCCAAATAGTTTTTTCCAAAAGTAAGTTTTCAAGTATGAACCTTTTCTCTTTTTCATTCTGCTTTTTTTTAGCTCGAGCCCCAGTGGAAGCCTTGAGACCATACCTGAAGGGACGACCGACGAAGACGCCAACAGTGGTGAGACATTGAGACTTTAACCCCAAACCCTAATTGGTCCTTTGAAATGAGGTGGAGAATTGTAAATGTGGCCAGTGGGCCTAGCATAATGTCTTCTAAGTTGTTGGGGAACAAGTTATTTGAATTCACCTGCATTGAGGGGATTCCATTCAGAAACAACTTGTTGTTTTGGAAGTCTGTTAAAATCTTACTAAGACCTCCAATTGATATGTTGGAAAGGTGTCAAAAGTGTATTAGAATTGACATGTACACCATTTGCCAGTGAAGTGAAGCAATTTTTTTTTGGGGGGGGGCCTCTTTGAAGGTTTCATGGTCACAGCCAAGGCAGACTACCTGGCCAAAACGAGCAGCGACCTGACCTTCAGCAAAGGGGACCAAATCCGCCTCTTCAACAAAGTGGACGAACACTGGTGGAGGGGCATGGTTGGGGACCAGAAGGGCTACATCCCCATTCAGTACGTGGACGCGCCGGAAAAGTAAGTCGATCATCATTGTGGTCTGCTGTAATTAGCACTCAGGGTCTTGGCATATCGGCAAGATGGTAACGGTCAGTGCACCATGTCTTTTAACAGAAGAGGGCACTTGGTAACCTAGCAATTGCCAAGGGCAATTGCATGTCGGGGGTATGTATGCATGGAGGGGGTGCTTAGCTAAGGACTTTTTTCCAAAACTTGGCTTCATCTGTGGTTGTAGGCTTACACTGGGTCCCTGACTTCGTAGATTTCTTCCTCAGCGTTGGCCAGGCGTTTTGTTAACGGAGCATTCAAGCAGTATGGTGCATAGCCAAAGAGTGTCGTCTGTTCCTTTGGTCCCGACTCTTAAAATGCTTTCACAAATTCCCGTGGTGTGGTGAAGCCACAGTCTTTGAGAAAGGGCTGAGGAGTAAGGATGCTGCTTGGTTGAACTTCTGCTTTCAGAAATCTGCTTGTCCACCATGCAAATGTTTTCAGAGGTCGGAAGAGACAAATGGTGGTTCGAACGCATGCCCAGTTTTATTAGATTCACTCTAGCGGTGTATATGCAATGTAAAGTTTGGTTATCCAGCCTGAATAAGTACCTAAACCAACGCCTTGCTTAGGAAACACTTATACTTGTTTCTTTATTTTGAATTCTGTTAACTCCAAAGGTCAACAAGAGAAGGGAACTTCTGACCAGCATTTGGACGTATTCCATGTTATAATGAATCAGTGTTTTATTGGAGTTGGAATAATTTATTTTTTGCAAGTTAATTCCTTCAGAACAATTTTGCGAATGGAAGAAAAAAAAAGTCAGCATTTTCCCGAGCAGGTTCTTTTTTTTATGTCATTTAGAATTTTTTTTATTGATGCCTGTGTTTTTTCTTTTATTTCAATTTTTTTTTCTCTTGTTTGTCAATTTTTGTTTTGTTTATTTTAGACCCTTCTCGCCTTCAACTTCTGTGACCTGGGTGTAATGCCTCTGGGGGTGACAGTGGGGTTTGCTTGAAAATGTGGGTTTTTCTTGAGAACGTTTGAGGATTTTTAAGCTCAAATTCTCTAGTAATTTAGGGGTCAGAAAAGTTACGTTTGTTGTTCACTGTTCACGTCATTGCCTTTCACATTTTCAGATGTTTATATATGTCAATATTTATTTCAGGTAGGTTGCAGATTCACTAGATATTGTATCACCTCAAAAAGTTCAAAGCTTTGTTTTGCAATATTCAACTACATGTACATCTGAAGTTCTTGTGATGGAAATCTTCTAGTTCTTTTACCATTCAGCAGAATGTCATCTTTACAGACACATGCATGACTATTCCCTTTGTGTTTAGCAGCTCCCTCTCATACAGAAGTGGGCTCCAAGCACCAGATGTGTTTGGATCAACTCTTTGTTTAATTTTTGTTCCACTTTGTTGATTCCTGGAAAGCAGAAGGCGCTGTGCATATATTTGAGATTGAATTTGGAATGTCATGCCTTACCAAACGTCCAAGATGTACCATCTCATACCATGCTCACATCAAACGATGTCTGTACCCCACCTTTGCTAGTCTTTGTCACTCCCACCTGGTCAGTCTTAACCACCGCCCTGCCAGCTCTGAGATCTGGCATCCCTCAAGATCACGTGGCACTCACTTTCTGTGGGATTTTGTTCAATTAATCAAAGATGACAGCTGCGGCAACAGAATATTAACACTGATGTCGCTGAGGCTTCTTCTATCGCAAAAGAATATCTATAAATGGAGTTTCATGAAGTTACTTGTTGAGTTGAGCAACAATTGGTCAGTGGACAAATCCACACTAACTGGAAATCAGTCACACAGTTACCAACGTTCATAATTCACAAAAAAAGTTTTTCTAAAGTGAGACCAAAAATAAAGGGTAATGTTCCTACCTATTACTTCCATTTTCATTTCTTTTAAAAAACATCCTTTAAATATTAGTAACAAATGGTAATGAGTCCAGTAATCTGCACCACCAATTTCCACTTCTGGGTAGAATTGCCCCTGTACATATACCTATGCACTGAACACATACAAGTATGTTACTTTTAGTCAATTGTGTGCAACACTTCAGTACCATGAAAATTCCTTCCATAAACTTCCCAGTGCCACAATTCCTCTGCCTGCACACAGGACCTATGGACAGAAAACTCCGGAGGAAAGCTCCCTGATTTAGACTGGCCAGTGTTGTTGCAATCCCCGCAATTGATTTTTGGCCTTGCTGTGATTCAATTTGGGGGGAAGCACCTGTGTTATGTTCCTATAAAATAGGCCGAGGAGACTGAAGTTGTTTTGTGATTGTTATGTCTTTACGTTCAGCTGGAACCCTAGAGATTCCCTCACAGATCTAACGACTGACATCCTGTTGCACTTGGCCAAGCATTTTGGGTGGGAGGCGGCTGCAGTTTTTAGACCAGAAAAGCAGAAATCGGGCCCTAAAGTTGAAAAGCCAACTTGACTTCTGGTCATTTTTTAATCACTCTGTAGTAGAATATTTTCTGAGTAAAGATGTTCAAGAATTTAAAGTATATACAGTCATTTGCAAAAGTTTTAAGACCACCTGGAATTTTGTGGGTACATGTATTTCTGCCAATGAGCCTGCATTCTTTTGTCTCATCGGCTGATTAAAAAACATGTTTACTACAGTGGTTCATAACAGGAAAGTAGTGCTGTTAGCTTATTTGAATGAAATTTTGTGCCAAGACAGGTCTTGTATGGCATTTTTTTTTTACTGCAGCATGGGTAGAAAAGCTAGTCTAAGTCAGGTTCAAAGGACCCAAGAGACCCTCCATCAAGAGGGCTACTCTGAACTTCAAATTAGCAAGAGGGCTGGTTGCAGCAAGACTGCTGTGCACAATGCTGGTTCAAAATTTAAGAGGTATTTCATTTTCTGACAAGAAAAGGCATGGTCATCCAAGAAAAACTAGCTCTCGTGAAGACCATGTGATCTGGAAAATTGTAAATAAGTATTGGACTTAACACTTCAAGTCATGGAAAGTAGTCAATTAGCAATTCAAGCAAAACACAAATTTTACACATTGAAAATAAATAAATGTAAGTTTCAAAGATTTACTTAAGTTTGGTTTTGAAGTTGCTTCATTTTGTATCGGTGGTCTTAAAGTTTTGCAAATGACTGCAAGTGAAGATTAATATTAAATGAAATGTGGTAGAGTCTACAAAACAGTTTATTTCTTGGGTTTTTAACCATATTTTGTAAATTTGTAAGATTTAATTGTAAAGTTTTATGGTACTTGTGAGAGCTGAAGGGAGCAATCAAGTTGCTTTAATTTTGTTTTTTAATGACTGAAAACAAAAATCATATTTTCCCTTTTCATTTTGTGGTTCGTTTTGCTGCTTCATGATCATTAGCGACATCTTGCACTGCTTTCTGGCAATGCTATTCTGACCAAAAGTGTAGGTGTTTTTGTTTGGAAAGATTTTTGTTCCATTTTCAGTTTTCCAGCTAAGGTTTCTTGTACACTGCCTTACTTTTCCATTCATAGTGAGAACGGTGTGCTGAGCCACCCGGTCAAACGCCAGGTCAGCCGGACGAGCAGTGCCGACATGCTGGTGCATGACATTGAGACCAAGATGGCCAGCGTGGCCCACGCCCTGTCCAACATTGAGACGGTCCAGAACACCCAGGCCTCCACCCCGGACCTGGTCAAGGATATCCGCACCCCAGTCACCCCATCCTCCCCTGGGCCGACTACGCCCAAGCCCAAAAACCCCCCACCTGCCGTCAAACCCCGCCCCTCCACCAAACCCACCCGGCCCATGCCTTCGTCCTCGCGCAAGCCCCAGTCTCCCATGAGCTCCACACAGACCTTATGAGGACAAAAACAACACGGATGCTCATAACACCATTTTACTTTGATTTCAGTTTTCATTGTCTCGACATATAATCTTATTTGTGCAAAAAGGGTTTTGGAAATGCCAAGAGTATTTTTTAGGCTTGCACGCTTTTGTAATACCACAGCATAATGAAATGACTGCAAAGCATAGGACTCGGAAGTAGAACACCATAATGCTGCTGTTAGTTTTAAGCATATAGTTTGTTTTGTTCATGGTATTATTCAGTTGCAAAGTAGACATTTCAATTCAGACATCATGCAAAACCCCAATATGAAGAGAAACAAGACATTTTGAAAATTCATGACAAGAATATATAAAACTAGCCCGGCAAGCTGCCGGCAAGAGATATTATTCATGCTTCATACGTTGGCACAAGCTTTAAGGCCTTGGCATAGTTGTGTTCAGCTGTGCAGTGGTTTGGCAGGTCATACATTTCCCTGTGACCTTAACAAGTTGTCCACCTTTGAATTAATTTTTTAAAAATCCAAAAGGGGTGCTCCATACAATTTCCACCAGATGCTTCTTAATTTTCTTGTAACTAAGGACCATTTTTGAAAGCCACCATTTGTTATTTTCACATCATAAATATGAATTATGAATTCGTCATTGAAACATTTTTCCAACCCGACAATGACTTGTTATGCCTTGCTTGATTTCAACATTGGACAAGTGGAAACCAAATTTTATATGCAGATAGTGTGATCTTTTAGTTTAATACTCCACCTTCATGTCAGTACACCGTTTGTAGATTCAGCATACCCACCTCACTGCTGATGTGTCCAGACAAAGGCGATTTCTGTTGCTGTTTTGTGTTCCTGAGCTGTAAATGACGCAAGAAATCAACTGCACGTCTCTTTGCATTTGACCCCCAGGCATTAACTCAAAAGCTATCTACTTGAATGCCACAGTCATGGTGTTTCGAAGGATGCAGCAGAACAAGGGCTTAACTTTGAAAAAGAAGGTCATTAAAATTCAATGAACAAACTCTTCGAAATGGTAATTAACCTATGAGGACTCTGATGGTACAGTGTAGATTGGCTGAAGGATCCCCTTAACAGGGCAAGTGCAATGGACATAGAGAACCACGGTAGAAATCTCAAGACTCACTGCGAGTACAAGTTTTGAACATTAAGAGTTCATGTACCCATCCCAGTCTGTTCTGTTTCAGCAATAAGGGAATGTGTTTGAGGATAGCTCTTATTGTCAAGCCTGTTCTGGCTACAATGACCTCCAGAGCATAGTAATACAAGCCCATGTTTCAGATATTTTGAACCTTTTTAACTGAAAGGTTAAAGACGGAGAAGCAGTGGTCATAGTAAAAAGCACAGCTGTTTGCTGGAGAAACAGTGAAATGAAATCTACTTGAACGTGCTTGTATTTCAAATTAATTTCATTAGATGGCCAGATATTCTGCTTGGTGCATGTGAACTGCTGTGGGAGCCCTGCATTTGAAGGCCAAGCCTGTGGCTGGCTAATGATGCATGCATCCATAGAACTTGGCTGCAGACACTAGCCAGACAGCTTCCATAAACATGCATGGTTATTTCTGGCCATAGCCATAAAGTCTGGATACTGACCCAGAATGGTCCCTGGTGCTTTTTCTGCCGTCTTCCCAGTGCAGATCTGGGGTGGTTTGGGGGGGGGGGAGTTGAGGAAGAAACATGACCAAAACAGACTTTGTCACCCAGGGCTCACAGATTGTATTCCACTCATTTTCCTTTGTTAGGTTTTTCTTCCAGAGAAGTTCTGTTCCATATTCTACATGTCCTTAGTGCATTTTTTATACCATTTAATTTTCTCTTTGCCAGTGGCAGCGATAGTTTGAGTCTCTCTTCCTTCCTAGATCTGCCCTTGCTTATTATTTCATTCCTTTCCAAGTGTTAGAACCAGTAAGAACATTTCTTGAAGTTGGAAACTCAGCACACTACACAGGCTCATGTTGTCTTTATTTTTACCTGTACATGCAATTTTTATCTGCCTTAGCTTAATAAATGAAATAGTACTCTGCTTGGTGTTATACAATAGTTACTGGTGCCTCAATGGGTGGTTGGAATGTTGTACATAGAAAAAAAAATTGCAATGACATTATAAATTGTTTTACATGATTTTTAATGGTAAGTGAATGTCGGTTTTAGTGACGCATTTTTAAAAACCTGTCGTTACGTACAGTCTCATTGTTTTGGATATTAACGGCCAGGTAATCTGGAAAATCTATGCATGGGGAAAAACCTGTTCTTGCCGTTGTACAAACGTACAACGGTAAGAACTGGTCAATTCACAAAAGCACACCACCAAGAATTTGCAACGCGTTGGCCAATCACAATGCGCGAAATCTGTCGACCCTTTCCAAACCTGCACTGGCTCCACAAATTTCGCACACTGTGATTGGTCAACACATTGCATACTCTTTGAAGCACACTATTGGGAATGGCCCGTATTGTGGATAAATGTGACATGGCCATGGGAGCACAGAGGGGAATGAACTAAAGTTGATTACTGATTAGTTGGAGTTTCTGTGAACCTACCCTCCCCCCAATCTGGAGAGAGAGAGGTGGTTACGGAGGAGCGGAGACCCTACAGGCCACCCTCTCCATTTCACAACTGTCTTTGGTTGCCCCTCATCTAGAGTTTTTTAGTCTCCAATTGCCCATGCACAAAAAGCTTTGGAAATGCCCTCCTTTCCAATGGCCAGGAATACAGATTAGCACATCTTTGTAGGCCCATCCAATTTGTTCAAATATTTCATCAGTTTTGTCTTGTTACTCTGTGATTCATCTCTGGTCAAAATTTGGAAAGATGAGAGCGAGATGCTGTCTCCTGAGGTGTTCAGAAATTGGAAATTGCAGTCTATTTTTCTCCAAGTTTCTGTTTTAGTGATTATGTTAAAGCTTTTACATTTCATCCAAATTTTTTGTTCAGAGTGGAATATGTTTGAACAGTTTCTTTTTGCTATGCAGGTTTTTTTTTTGGTTAATGTTATAAAACTAAGATGTTTATTATCAGCTAGCTAGATGAGATTTTGTTGGAGCAATACGGCAGCTAAAACTAGCAAAGTGATATTAGACAGCCTTGTGTGGTGTTATTTCCCATACGTTGGCTTTGTCTTCAACCATGGCTAAACATTGTTAGGTAGACTTTACTTTTGTATCTGAAGTGATGTTGTCAAAGCCCGGAGCCAAAGCACAAATCATTAAGCTGAAGCCAAACCCAAGAATTGAAAAATAGCCTTACATATTGTAAGTGTAATAAAATGGAGCTAAAGAATAAATATGCTTTCACATTAGGTCAGTGTTAAATTGATGACAAATTGTAAAAGCTGGGTGCACAAAACATGGTGTGATGTTTCACCAAGTTGACTTTGTGGTACAATGTACTAAATATATTAAACAAGCATACATATACCAATTATTAAGTGTGTGTGATTTCCAAAGGCTTGTTTGTAAATGGAAGTGTTTGACCTTCAAGCTTCGGTCATGTAAACTGACAGAATTTTTTGTAAGGCTTTTTTATAGTTTGCGTAAGAGGCGCTTTATATTGAGAGGGTGTTTTTTATACGTCAGTTTCTTTTTGAATGAAGAATTTACCGAGTTGACTGGGGAGGGGGATTTGAATGGATTTCACTTGAATTGATGCCTTTTTTCCACATAATTTTCCAGGCACTGCTAATTTGTTTGACCTGTTGTGCCGATGCAAGAGACGGTGATGGGTTTTTGCAAAAACATGTATAAAGTTACAACTTTATTATGCTTAATCATGGTTAAGGTCTGCAATGTGCTGTTCAAGAATTTTTTTAAAAGTTTTTAACTTGTTGGGGTCTGTTTTTAGACGACAGTGCTGTACAATCACATGGAGTAAAATCTCCAAGCAGTAAGTTTTCCTCAAGTAAAGTGACAGTAAATGGTAAGAAATGATGTATTATTCATGCCTTATAATAACGCAACCTACTTGTATAAATAAATATATCCCGGTGTTTTGTGTCACGGTTATTTCTACGAGGAACCCAGGATGTGGAAGTGAATTAAATTATACACACCGAGACATGTAATAAATAACATCAAAACTGTACAGATTAAAAGAAATGGTCGTCAGGTTCCTCTTTGTTGTTGCCGGAAGTGTAATGAAAAGGGGGAGTTTTCTTTCCCTCGTGCAATTCAAGATGAGCGTCGCAGCGACAAAATGTGGGAAACTTTACCAATGGACAAATTCCTCAAGCGTTTGAGTTATTCAGGAGTCTTTCCTCAGATAAGTATGTTTTGTGTTTTCTTTTTTAGCAATTAGAATAATTGCATCTTCTTGAGCAGTTTTGTAACATGTAAGTTTGATAGGGGCTGAGCTGATACGCAGTTCCTATTGAAAAAGAATGCAAGGTATTGTAATGACACAAAAGATCAGCTGGAACAACTCCACCAATGTGTCAATGTTAAACAAGAAATAAAACACTATGCACTTCTTCAATAACCAGGAAAACTTTTCATAAAAACTAAACTAATGCTTTTTCAAGAAGGCAACGGTCATTACAATCAATATATAGCTTTTTCACCTGTTCAATTACTGCAGTCATTCCTCTGAGGGAGCCTGGAGATCCTTCAGGTACTGCGATCTGAGGTTGGATAGGTACATCCTGAGGCTGGGCTCGTCCAGTCGGGAGTTGCGAGCTGCTTGGATCAGCCGGTTGGCCAGACGGTACACCGCCCTCTGGTCCTTGTCCGCGTGGCTGGCCACATGCTGTTGCTGTGGGGTTGGCAACAGTATGAGTCGGGTTCTTCCTATTCTTCCCTTCCCACAAATAATGGGGGATACTATACTGGTTCACCCTTGTGTGAAGGTGCTACAGGTTTTTGTGCACATTTAACTGAAAATCAGTTGTACACACTAGTGTGTGCACCAGTATATGCACTAGATGTGTCCTCCCCTGGCTACTGCATGTGAGTTAACTCAAACAGCTAATGGTGCATGTACTGTGGATGCTGCTGTCAACACTTACCCTTTTCTGTTGCGACAGCGTTTCGCATAGCCTCTTGGCTTCTGTCACCACAGGTTCTGGTAGGTTGGAGATCTCAGCCAGCTTGATTCCTGCAGTCAAGTGGAAGAACGGCATCACCCTGAATTTACTTACAGTGTGTGTGCAGCATCCAAAATACTTCAATTACTGATGCCGGTAATAATGCTGATCAAAAGCTAACACGTTACGGTGACAATTGGAGCCAGCTGACCTTGACATTTTAACCCTTTCATTGACAAGAACCCATGCTAGTATCAAAATGTCAGGCGGGTCACTTCATATGGCGAGCAATTTACCCAGTTTCTTATTTCCTAAATTTAGTGTTTTACAGAGAAATACGTTTGGTGTTGTTGAACTGGAACTTGACAAATGTGTTTGGGAACTTTTTTTTTAATACGAAACTGGCTAAATATATATACATGGATCCTGCCCTGATTTGAGGTCACAGCATTTGATGAAATAAGGAATTTGTTATGTAAAGTTAGTATGATCTCAATAATTGCACTTTTGGTAATGGGTAGGAATCTGAACACCTGAGAGGAAAGGTATGCTGAAAGAGTTAGTGTTGGCAAAAAGGGTTTGAGAAGGAACCGACTCAAGCTCTGCTGAGCATCAGTCAACTGTTAAGATCTGTTACCGTAGTGTTTCTCATCAGTGCGGCCTTTGGAAAGAACGTGGGTGTAAGCCAGCCTTTTCTTGCCTCTAGGGGTTGCTGTTCCATGTTCCACCTCAAAGTGGTAGCTACAACAGAGGGACAACGATAGTCAACAAAGCTGCGTGAATACACAGGAATCTTTGACTTGACTGACTGACAAGTGTTCACTCAATGTGAGTATACGCTAGCCATCACCACAAAAAACAAATGAATGGTCTTGACGGCATCAAAAGAGTCAGAACAGAAGCAAAGGGGAGTTTATTCCTTTGTCTCCTCTCTGAGTCACACCTCTCTATCCACAAATTTTGACTGATTTTGTACCCTCACAACGTCAAGAAGTAATCTCACTTTTCCACATTTGGGTAGAGCACATCCAAGTTGGCCACCTCCATGAAGTGAGTGGCAAAGAAGGTGAAGGCTTTCAGACTGAGGAGATATTCACAGATGGAATGGCAGATGCCGATTCCTTCCTCGCTGTTTGTCCCTGAAAAACGCCCCCAAAAAGATTGCTTAAATTACAATGAATAAGAGGTGGTTCAAAAGGGGAAAGGTTACATTGCAGGCAAAGTGTCATCCTAATAAGACATAAAATGAAGATGTCATTATGAAGTGGAACATTTTTTACAAAGTAATGGCTCTAGAAGTTAACATTGGATTTAACAAAACACATGGCACACGATTTGAGCGTCTGCAATCATAATTTACTACAACACTGCATTTTGATATGTTTGCTCCTGAAACCTTTTGATGATGGTTTCAAAAGTTTGAGTGGCGTTTAACCAAGACAGGCTTGAGTGGGTACCTCTGCCAAGCTCATCAATGATGACAAGGGACTTGTTGGTGCAATTCTGTACGATGTAATTGATCTCTCTCATCTAAGAACAAAGAAAACATGGGGGCATGTGAATTGCTATGACACTGTGATACTGTGATGCATGCTTTCATGGAATAAAATCTCAGTGTGCAAGGTTGTATGATAATAATCATCCTTTTCTTCTTTAAAAGAAGGAAGGACTTTTAAAGACAGGCAGATGCAAATCTGTCCTTTCCCCCATCCTCCTGTACCTCAAGCATAAAGGTGGAGGCATTTGTCTCGATGTCGTCGTCGCAGCCAATGCGTGAGAAGATCTGGTCGCAGATGCGGAAGGAAGCGTACTCGACTGGCACAAAGCTGCCAATCTGAGCCATGACCTGAAGCAGGGCCAACTGCTTCAAGTAGGTGGACTTGCCACTCTGCAGGAGAGCACAAAGAAAATGTGGTGCGACTGAATGGACCAAATTTATGGCTGGGTCGTTCCATGAGGTTGGGGCACAATTTGTGATGGTGTCAGTTGTTACATCAGTTCCGTAAAAATAAGCAGCTATTTCCCTCCCTCCAAATTGACATTGTTACACATCTTCCAAGGCTGAATACAGAGGTGTGTGTGTAATTTTGACATGGTAAATGACCTACTCTACAGGTCATGGCAGGTGGTAAAAGTTGCGGATGGAACAAGCGACACCGTCACAAACTGTGTCCCAACCTCATGGAATGACCCGGCTGAGGGAACTAAAGTTTATTTCATGTATTGTCAAGATCAGATTTCTGGTTTGGTTTCATTAAAATCCCTGGAGTAGGTCTTTAGAACAAAAAGCTTTTCACAACATTTTGCTCCTGAGCTTCAGAAACTTGATTTTCTTGTCTTAATACAGAGTTTACATTTTCAGTGAAACCATACAGGAAAGTCAGAGTTGACCAGAGAGTATCTTAACCACTCCACCTCTCCCATTCAGAGCATGTCTGTATGTCAGAAGTCCGTTTTGAATTGACAAATCTAAGTACGGGATCATTGTACATCAGAAACGGACCTTTCCAAGTTTCTCAGCAGTTTCTGTTATTGTACAGTGTGTGAAACTTACCATGTTGGGACCAGTGATTATGACAAAATTGCTCTCTTCGTTGGCATACTGCAAAAACAAAAAGATTAAGTACATTTTGAAAATCAAAACTCTGGATTTTTCTCATGAAATATAGAAGAAATAATGCATTCTTGTTGGGTGATTTACTCACTGTGTTGTTTGCCACTGGCGGCTCGTAAGATATCTTGTCCAAGATTGGGTGTCTACCATTTTTGATGGCCAAGGTGTCAGTGAAGTCAGGTCTCACTGTGAAAAAACATTGGGATGAAATAAAATTTCTGGTTTAAAAAGTGAAAAAACTATAAGGCTATAATGTGTATTGATAATTTCAAAAACTTCTATGAGCTTAAAATAACTGACATTATTTTACTGGGGGACAAAACATCTTGAACTTGCACTGTAGTTGACATATTTGGACAGTCCAGTAAACAGGTACTAATGTGGCAATTTCAGTTATTTTTTCCCTAATGAGATTATTCAAAGGGCTGTGTTTACATGTACTTGATAGAGTGAAAGTTTCCAAACTCCAGAAAAATAGCAGATGTAGCCATTTTTCCTTACCATATTCTGACAAGGTGCAAGCGTGTGCAAAAGCAACCAGCATGTCCAAAGTGGAGACGCACTCGGCGAGTTTATACAAACAGCCAACATGCTCTCGGATTTCATTCAACAGCTCACTCACAACTCTGAAATTTGCAGTTGAAAATTGGATGTCACCAGATCCAAAAGACTACTAAAGAGATAGAATCAGTGCAGGATTTCTTCTCCATCATAGGCCCTGCATCACTTTTGCTGTACAGGCTTCAGGTAGTTAACCGACTTAATTATGTTGAGATCACCACAAATACTAACAGGGAGTCCAATGTCTCGGTTAAGTTGCCTGTGCCAGGGATGAAAACTGTGAGGAAATCCTGAAGATTGCCCTTCAGGGTGAAAAAAGCTTGATTCCAATGGAACTACTTACGTATTTGTCATGAGGTAGATCTCATTCAGTGACTCTCGAATGCGGTCTGAATAAAGCCAATAAAAATACACACAACTTTCACCTTTTCTTCTGGTTCAAATTAATGCCAACCTTAAATCTTAACGTCTACTCCTAACTTTTATGGCTACTATAATAGAATTTCAAACACTGTGATAATTCATAGCATCTTATACTCACCATTTAACTTGATCTGTTGAAACAAAGTAAGACGGAAAATTTGAATAAGTTGACCAAGTATGAAATGCTTGAAATCATAAGGAATGGATTTTGAGGAAAAGTAGAGGCGGTACTGGCTAAATGAACTCAGCACCAGCAAGAGTGGCATTGATGGAACAGAAAAATAAATATTAGAGTAATCAATTATTCCACAAAATTCAAAAGATATTAACATGCGCATTAGCAACGAGCAAGGCAAACCGACTGGGCATCATTGGCAGAAGCAGCATAATGTTTACAGAAGTGACGATAAAAGTTACACAAACAACAGTAACAGCTGTAACTATAACAGCAACATTTAACATCCAACAGGATCACGGTTACAACAGACCAAATACTGAAGCAGCAGCCATGCACAGCAGCACAGCAAGGAAATCCCCTGACGCCATTTCAGGCCGCACTCACCAGATCCGGCGTGGTGAAGCTGATGGTGTTCCTGGCTTTCACCACCTTGGTGAAGATCGGGGGGAGGGAGTTCGGTGAGACGGGGTTCTTGGAACCGCAGTACAGCTGGATGAAGAAACCCCTGTTGCTGCTGTAGCTGGTCTTTAAGGGAAGGTGGTACTGCTCCCCCAGCTGACTGATCAAATCTTGTCAACATTTAAGAATGGCATTCAACATATGTAATTTTCCCTTGTCATTGATCGGCCGGTAAAATCCCAGTAGCGAGCACAGTCAGTAGACCATCGTTTTCTTTACTAACCCTGAATAAAAGCCAGAAAGGAGCCCATCTGCTACTGGATGAAATAAGCAAATATGGGACAAGGCCATGTGTACTGCTGCCGAACTACTGGCCATAAGAAATTATAGTAAGAGCAAGTCTTATCAAGTTTGTCATTTTACTTTTGCCCTTGGAAGATGGAGTGAGAAAGGTGCAGCCAACAAAACTTCCAAGACAGTAGAACGGTACCTGATATGTCATCCACAATCTCTGTGTATGTTCGCCTGGCAACATCCAGCAATCCTGTGCAAGAATGTGAAAGCGGGTTTGGCTCACTTTTAGTAGGCAAAGATAAAAACGCAGACATTGTATCTGCAACCATGATCATGATACCACAAGGGTGATTCCTCTCCCTCAAAGACAATGTGTCAGCCTGCTACTTTGCCAATCCAAAAACAGAACAAGACTTTCCAGAAACTTTGAAATGCTTGTTGTACAGCGACAGCACAAGGAAGATAAAGCAATTTAAACATCAGACACCAACCATTAATGTTAGGCTTGACAGCAAAGCATTTCTGGGTCCGCATGTTGAGGATGCCCTTCTGATAGCGAGTTCCGTCGTTAATGACCATGTGGATGTTCTCCAGCATAGCATTGAATCTCTCATCACCAAGGGACTGCAGGATGAATGAATGCATTGGACTTACTCTCATTTGAATAAATTCTATAACCTGTAGCAACAACACAGTGCGACTATGAAACTTATATTCATGTACCCCCGTTATCATTCTGTATTTGCAAGAGTTGGGATAAGAACCCTCAAGTTTTCAAGTTTCACCTTGAAGTAGGCCTGCAGGAGTTTGTTTTCGGAGCCTTCCAGGGCCATCATGAGGGGCGGTATGAGCTCTAGGGTGTGCTTGAGGTGGATGACATTGGTGATCTTGGCCTCTGCCGTCTTGACAGTCTCCTGCTTGGGGATTTGAATGCACAGGGACAGGAGATGGTCCACGTCCAGGAAGCGTGTCAAAACTGATTGGTAGAGGAAAAATAAAAGTGGTGGAAAAATGTTGGTAATTTTGGTTCCCTTGAGAAGCTCCAGGCGTTGAGCAGTTAAACAACACTGTGTGGCAAATCAAGTATCTCACCTGATTGAAGATTGTAAAATGGTTCCTCCTGTTGGGTCAGTTCAGTGACAACATCCAGCCGTAGCAGGATGGTATCCAAAGCTAGAAGAAAATGAAGCTCATTAAGAATGCAACCAAGAAGTCTTTAAAAAAAAAAGGAGGAAAACATCAAAAGGATTGAACAGAAGAACGTGTTTGTGAAAAATGTTGATGTTTCAGGTACAATCCCGGGGAAGGGAGTAGCATTTGAAGAGAAGACTGTAAGACAACTGGGCTTTTCCCAAACAATTGGTGAGTGTGGCAGATCTATTGATAATCATCAGCTTGAAGTTTCCAGTTTTTAGTTCTCAACCAAAAAATGTGCACAAATGAAAGACTTACCGCATGGTGGCTGCAGTATGTTAGCTCTGAGCAGTCGTGCTGTATAAAAGAATTATACCACATTATCTACTGGTGGGAAGTTGAAACACCCTTTGAGATTTGAATGTTTTGAGTTTCTTAACAAATGGTGAAATATATAAGTTGGGCCAGTTGATTCCAAAAAAAATGTACTGCAGTCAACACAGTTAATAACTCTGACATTTTTCCTTGAGATGGTTGTATTTACTTATAGATTTTTATATGTTAGTGCTCAGTTTTATTCATCTTGTAATAACCCATAGAAAGTACAAATACATAAAATCTTGACTTTTGGTTTCTCTTACCTCCAGCCAGAGTTTTGGTGTAATTTAGGACCCCATAGAGCGTGTGCTCACTTTTAGGGTCCTTGATATTTTGGACCAACTCCAGATTCCTTGCAGTGGTTGCATCTGGAGAAAAACAAAACAAAAAGAAACCCACTAATATTTCCAAATTGACAAATAAACAAATTTAGAAAGAAAAGTACCAGAACTCAGTGGCCCCAAATCCCCAGAAAAAGCATAACAATAAAGATAAAAATGCAGAGTATCCGAATACATGCTTATAAATCTGAATAGAGTATACAATTGACCTGAAAAATTGGATGGGATAAAAATAAACAGGCAAGATTTGTTTGGTCAGGAAGAGTGACACAATCAGATGACGGGGCTGTGCCTACCGATCATTGTTGATTGCTCGCTGCCTCTGAATACAACCTTAAGAGAGCTAGGAGCATACACAACATTCTGGATGAACTCAACGTATTTCAACAGGGCTGCAGCCGCGGCTAAGCAGTAGTACCTACACAACGTAATATCACACAACAAAATAAAGGCAAAAAATAAATGGTGTCGTTTCATTTTGTTAGCAAACTTTTCATCAACAAAATATTAAACACAGTGGTGTCGGACACAGTCACATCTCTTTTGAACTGCAGAGAAGTCAAACCTCAACCTGTGCGATCTCATTACATTGTGCTGACCTATTTGGAAGCTCCGTGAGAAATCAAGAAAAACCAAAATCCTTTCTCTGGATAATTTCACTTCTTTTTTTTCTGGAGGGTATCTAGATACAGCCATTATTCCTTCTACTGATTAAGACTTTAATTTACACTCACTTTGAAGTTATTTCCATTTCCACAGCACTGAAGTCTGACACACACAGATGTTTGATATACTGTAGACCTAGCAGAAAATTATTCACATTAAAAATATTAGTAAGATCAAGAGCAAACAATTTAAAACCAATACTGGTATCGAAATTGCCTTTCTTTGTTCTGTCGATTCAGACAATATAAAAAATGCACCTGTGATTTGCATAAATTAATTTTTCAAAATGCTTGTGATGCTGAATGAACAAAACTCAATGAGAGATGAGTTCCTGTATCCAGTGACAAGACAACTCGTCAGACCTAAACCACAGTTAAGTTATTTGACAATACAGACCAAGCCCATGACACCTTTTGTCTCGTTGAAGTATTTCCTCTGAACAGTGGCTATGCTGGTATTGGGGAAGTTGTCGGTGATGAGTTTGAAGAGCTTGGTCATGCTGCCTTCGCACGCTGTGACTGGCATGACGATCTACAGTAGGCCAGATGAAGTCGACTTAAAACTCACAATAATCCAATGTTTATTCCGAGCACAAAATTCCGAGACAGATGCACTTACATTACCACAACTGAAACTTAAGTAAGCAGGATGGAAAGATTGCAAACTGATGTAACAGGTGAACCACCTTAAACTTGATAACAAGAGCAAATTTGGATATCATTATGTAATGATATCAAATTCCATGCTAAATGAGTTTTGAAGGAAATTTGATTAAGAAAACTAATTTTGGTACCTGTCTGTAGTAAATGTAAGAACTCTTTTTTTATGACATTATGTATGGAAACCTTCCAAACAAACTTAAACGATAAACAACTGGATTTATTAAACAAAAATTTACCTCAACTGGTTGGCATATTTGGAGTTTTGTAGTAATCTTCACATAGCTCTGACTGTCTGAAAACTGGAGAAATCAAACAGATTTACGACCAACTGATGACATAATGCGTGCTGAAATGTGGGTTGAATATAACAAGGCAAAATGATCTTTCTGATCAGCGTTTATGCAAAACAGAAAAACGTTCATAGAAACATACTTTGGTTGATCAATACTTTTCACTGAAAATGTCTTTCATAGGGCCTACCTGTGAGAGAACAAGTTCTGGCTGCTTCAAATCAATGCTGGCCATACCGATCTCTCCTTGTGCTAAACCTCTGCCTTCAACAATAGCTGAAAGCCAACATTGTGTAAGAAGGAAAAATTTGGTTTTTGAATTTCATGCATAGGCCTACTAGACCTCATAAGAGCTAATTCACAATGGAAAAACTTTTTTGCATACAAAACATACCAGTTTCACTCTATATCCACTTGAGTGTGCTCTTTATCTTTAAAAGTAAGACTAGAAAGAGGACACCCACTAATTTTTATTGCTAGTATCCATAGATCAATTCATCAAGTAAAATGTCTCTCCACCACCTGTCATTATGAATGTCCAATTCACACACAGTGTTTGAGGGGTCAATATAATGATCAGTCAAAAGCAGTGACAACAACTTAGCATCCTCAAATATCCCCAGACCTATCACTTATTAAATAAGACTTCTGGTAAGTCCTCTGTCCCAACGTACCCACTAAGATGGAAGACTGTGGCACCGTGCCAGGTGTGTTGGAGCTGATGCTGTAGCCCCTGTAGGGAGTCTGTCGTGAACTCCTGGATCCGGGGGTGGGTCCATTTGTACTGCTTGATGTGCGTGGAGTCGAGAACCTGAAAGACATATGGTAATGTCATTGGTCAAACACTTACAGGACAGAACTCCTCGCCTATAAGTTGAAAGAAACCTACTGATTCAAGATCACAGATTTTTCAAGGTTGGGCCATTGTCTTGTCTTCCATAGATCCAACACAAATCTTCACCACTATCTTGGGTTGCTCAACAGCTCATCAAGAAAACAAAGTGCACAAATAGCACAAGCCTAGCCATAAAAACCTGCATTGTACCTGAACGAGGAAGAGGTACTAGGTCTGAACGTCCCACCACTTGTGAGGGCATGCGTTGAGGGTCCTGAACTGGCTTGAACATGAGTTGTGTCTTTCATGTAACTTGTTCTCCCTGGGCCACTTGACTCAGTGTTTGATGGCAGGTCATATAACTCAAATGCTGAATAATCAAAAGACAACTTGTAATAGGCCTACTGGATATTTTCTGAAACATACTGGCAATTACACAGTTTCTGAACTATCTGGCCATCAAGTGACTGCAGGACATCCCCATCCGACCAGCTTGTGCACAAACCTATTGTTATGGTGGATATCGATTTCCCCCTTTATTCTTGGCTATCATTAGATTCTGCAGAAGAATCTAGAATGTGAGGTTGACAAGAGTTGTTGATAAGTTTGTGAAATGTGAATTTCTGTGTTAACTTCGTTTTTCTGACACTTAGGTGAATATGGTCAGTAGGCCTACTGTCACTTTTATTAGTAGGTCCAAAAAGCTAGTTGGTTTTCCTTTTTCAATTTATTTTTCAGCCACTGACAATTTGAAGACCGATTCCTTTGGGATTCACTCTTAGACTAACCTCAGTTCTTCTAGAGCATGGAGCACTGCAGTAACGATGCAGAGTTATACGTCAAAGTACATCTCGACTGCTTACCATATTTGGGATTTCTGTCCTTGCTTGTGCTTGATGAAGATGTCATCACAAAATTCGCTCGGCTGACTAATACACTGAAAAGCAGTTAGGGGCCTAGGACTACGCCCTACACAAACATAAAACTTCATTGATGTTGCATCAGAAAAAAATTGACCACACAACCCTGCGAATACAAAACTTGACAACAGTTATTAGGGCGGGACTGGTAATTTAACTTTGGGATCATACTAGCCGAGCGTCAGCCAACCCATCCGGCCATCAGCTTTTCTGGCACTGTGGCAGGATTAGAGTGAACAACTCAGGTAAAAAAAGAACAATAACTGTTAGTTTTTGATGGTTCAAAAAGCCAGTAACGAATTAGACTAAAAGTTGGAGAGGCTTACTTTTAGGACTCCTCTTCATCTTGTTTCACTTATTTTATACACTTTATTAACGAAGTGCAGTCCAATGAGTCCAGGCCCTGACGCTTTACTTTAATAGCTAGCTTTGCGCTGCTGTAGTGTCAGGCTGTGTACCTAAGGCCAAGCAGGACTGACGGAAAGGTTGTTAATTGTTAGAAAATGTAAAATTCTTACCAATTTGGCCGTTGACGTTCTAAACTAGTAGAGTTGTAAAACTAAGGATTGCTCCAAAAGGAAATTTAAAACTCTTCACCTATTTATCCGCAAAAGTCAAAACTTTAAAAACATGCAGCCTCTATCGACTTATGAATATTAGTCGTCAAATATACTTCAGTTTACAAGATAAAAAGATAGTCTTTGTTATATCAAATTTTGTTTGTAGAATTTTTATCTCATTAAATTTTAGTTTGTAAGTGCACCTAAGATCTTTCTGTTTCTTGAAATTACCTCGATTAATTATTTGTAGATTTTAAATGAATGAAAGAGGTAAACAAAATTTCATTTATCGTCTGCTTAGCTCCCCCAGCGCGCGCGCAGCGCGGACGTACAACTAGCAGCGGCGCGTATTTGTCCACTTACTTACCTAAGTACGTGTGCAGATATATAGATGTCCACGGTCATTTTCAGGGGAGAAATGGATGGTTGGCATCGGGATGTAGGAAGCGGACAAAACCATGGTAGGGTGATACATGGAGAGACACCAACACAGATTAAAGAAGGAGAATTGAAATTAAAAAAATATATCAAGCATGCATCTGCAGAATAGCTGATTAAAATAATCAGTTGATTTCAGTACACTAACCTTAGCTTCTGTTTGTCATTTTGAATTAGGCCTAGTTAGGCCAATTTTTATTTGGCCTAGCTTAGGTCCTAGGCCTAGGGCCTACTTATTTTGTAGTGGGTAATGCTTACTGATTACCTTACGGTCTGACAAGGAATTCAGTGTTTGGATTTGTATATTATTAATAATAATATTATTACTATTAGGGCCTAATCATATCTGGTTTTGACACCAACATGACCAAGGATTCCTCAAAAGTGCCCTCCGGCCTAGGCATGGCACTGACATGACTGTAGCTCACAAGCCTGAAGAAACCTGTCAATGTCCGTGGCGAGGCTACAGTGAGAAGCAGTTACAGTTTTAGACGTGGGAAGAAAAGTCCAGAGGAATATTCTGGGTAAAACCCACAGAATGAACCCACAGATATGCCACGTGTGGAACGGGCCAGGATTCGAACCTGGACTGCAGAGGTGGAAGGTAAGGAAAGAACCACTACACCAGCCTGACTCCCCCTCGTACATGTAACCAGTAACCATGGTAGCAGCTAGTGGATGCCACGTTGTTGCTTTTGTCAGATACTGATAAAGATGCATTCTGACTTTTTATTGAACACTTTAAGCAGCAGAGGTTAAAACTGACCTCAAGCTTCTCTTGGAATGCCTCAAATGCCACATGGGGGATGTTGCAGTACAGCAAGACACTTTGCTTACAGCTGCTGCTGTGTGCTCAAGTTCAGGTAAAGAGTTGCTGTTCTGGTTCAGTGAGTCATTTCAATATCTTGTCATTTTAAAACATGAAGCCATTCTTAAATTTTACGTTGTAAATTGCATTCCAACAACTTGAACATTGCCTCACTAATGTTGCTATGTTTTTTCCCCTCATCAAGGCTGATATGGAATGGAAGCCCCCTAAGTTAACACAGGTGAAAGTTTGGTGCAAATGAATAGCTGTTTCTAAGTACTTTTCACAACATGTAATGTAACCCCGGGCTGTGGGAGGTGAAGGCATTTCATCTCGCAAAACGTTTGAAGTTCATTTGATATCATCTTAGAGCAATTTAAATTTTGAGTTTCAGATGAGGCCAAGGAGTTTTTCAGAGAGTGCGGAGGCATCAACTTTGTTTTAAACCTTTTGACGTCAACTGAAGAAGACAAAGTGAAGATTGCAGCTCTGTACATGCTCGGCTGTGCGTGTGAGAAAAATGGTATGTGATGGGAGAGAGATGACATTAAGGTGTACACAGTCACAACTTTCAATGCAGCTGTCAATCATATAATGAGATGGTAAAAGTACATAATTAAACATTGTGGATAAAGTATAGTATAACCTGGCTTGAACAAGTTTGAACAATTTCCAAGCAATCGTCACCCGTTAATCACCAACTGAAAAATGTATTTCCAAATCAGGGCTGAACATTATAACTTAAAAAAAAAATAGTCATTCCTTTTCTTCTGCAGTCCAACCCTAAAAAGAATGATATGGACCTTCTCCCAGTTAGCTATGTTCATTTGTCACTGCCTCAATTTTTAGTCGGCAATCTTTTTTGCAGTGTTTTCTCAAAAGAGACTCTGTACTTTGGCCATCTTCAAGTTTCTCTACTGCCAGCTGATCGGTGGAAAGGAGACGAGCGACAGTTTAAAGAGGACATCAGCTTTTCTCTTGCTGTGTCTGGTCACCAACAATGGTGAGTCCACTGATGATGGAGAGCAAAGGTCCGTGTTTGGCACCCAGTGTTTAATCAACTGAATCAACCAGATCGTTAACATTTTCTGTTTTCATATATGAAGGGAAAGTGGCCATTTAAGAATTGTACATCTTCCGTAACATTTTTGCTTATTTCTTAGTTCTTTAGGGGTGTTTCCAGAATCAGTAAATTCACTTTAGGATGCATGGAATGGCTCATGGGAACAAATGTTGGCCTTGACAGCTGACTGTGTGGTGATCTTAAGGAATTAAACCCATGAAAATGTTTACTTTTCAGGTGAGGGACAGAATCTTGCCAGGACATCTCACTGTTTAGAGGCCCTGCTGAAACTCTTCAGGCATGTTCAGTTTAGATTGACCTTTTTGTTAAGACATTTGAGCCCTGTTATCAGTATCTAAATACATAGATTTATTTTGTGTGGAATTGATTTACCTCTTTTGGTATTTTGATTGATCACAGTTAGTAGCTTCCTTAACTTTACATGACTTGCAATTATGAATGATGCATTGTAAAGGGTGTTTCCTGTCCAATTTCTGTCTGCTGTCATTTCAAAACTTTTCAATGCCTAAAATCCAGGACCTCATACCCATTGGCTCCCCACACGTCTGGCTTACCAGGTCAGATGTGGATGGACTCATCGGACACAGACTGCAAAAAGCAACTTGATCTGTGGACCGTGGTCACCAGCACCCTGTCTGGCTGTGTGAATAACCCTCAAAATGGTAAAATACACAGAGTCCTACAGCTATCCAATCCACCATCACATTGCAGTGAATGCTTTTCAGTAAAGTTTTGTAGGTAAATGGTCGATCATTTCTTAAACTGTGAATTCTGTTGTATAGTGGACACTTTTAACTGAAAGACCTGTCACTTTTCATCGTGCCACAGTTTTGGCCATGATTTGGCATCTGCTACATCTAATTTATACAGACTCAACAGGGGTTCCTTTCATGCATTCAACGAGAAAGTCAAGATTAACAAAACAAGCAGCTTAAACAGTGGTTGCGATCAAATTTCTATTTATCAATTTTGTTTTATCAGAGGCAAACCAGCTGATGTGCTCATCAGTAGCCTTTGCCACAGCCATTGACATCATAGGCAAGACAAGAAATCCAACAATCATACGACTGGTGTCTTCTTTCTTGTCCTTGACTATTTCCAACAACGGTGAGTCAATCAAACTGTATTACAGTTAATCTTAATGTGCTGTGTAGCTGACCGAGCACTTGACTGATAACTCTCCTTGGCGTATACCCTGTGATTTTTTTTTTCAGTGAGCAACCAAGACAAGTTTGGTTTGCTAGGAGGACTGGAGGCGATGGTCAATCTCCTTCACGCCGTTGTGGGGGATCTCCTCCAACAGCCTGATCAAGATGCAGCACAGGCAGCCGTGCAGCTGGCCAACGTCTTTGTGCCCTGCATCACGGACTGTGGTAAGTGTCAGGTACCTGGAGTCCTCACCCGTACAGCTACAATCCTGGACAAAATACACCTTGTGGGAAGCGCGGTGTAAAGATCCCCCCTCTCCCCCTTTCAATGTTGCGGTCATTTATTGATCCAAGATTCGGCCCAACTTACCCAGTGAGAAACAACGCTGACAGGGGGCGAGAGGCAGGCATGTTCCAATGAGATTTGTCCACTGCAGGATTATAGCTTCATTATTCATCAAGCAATCCTAGGTGTGAGTTCATCGTTAGGCCATCATTCATTGCTTAATGTACAGGTTTGTTGCAACTAACTTGCTCATTTTTTGTTGACCTGGACTGTTATTAATTCTGTTTTAATAAGCAAGTTTGATCAGTCCCATTGACACAGCCATGTATCATGGACTGAACAAGGTTTAACTAGCATGGTGGCAGGAGCTATGGTATCAATTTACTTTGCTGTTTTGAAATACTAGACTGGCTACTTACCCTAGAAATAGGCTATGCTAGAAATGTTCAGACATTTTTCTGGCCATCGGGTCAGCAGTTCAGTTGTTTATTCCGCACTCCTCAAATTACACTACCAACTATGATGTAATATCAATAACCAAGAGCTATTTTCATGTCATTCTCCAAGAGCAAAACCGCTGCAGGCTCATGGATCTGAACCTGGTCCCTTTGCTGGTACAGCTGATGTCCATGGACTTCATTGAGTCCGATGTTAGACTGAAAATCATCATCACTCTGGGTCATCTCACTGAGAAATGTGGTCAGTGTGAATCCAATTGAATAGCAAAGTGATACAGGGATGAGAAACTCAGTCACAAACGAGAGGTTACCAAAGCAATAATATCCATATATATGAGTTACAGTCCAAATAACAAATCTTGCACAGAGGAAAATTCAACAGGAAACCTACGCCATCAAATACTAAAATAAGTATGAAGTACATACTTTCTAATGCAGATGTGCAGCCTGATGAGATTAATTTTGTAGTATCCAGTTGGATATTGCCCCACAAATAAACCTGGACTATTTTCAAGATTTAAAAGCATATGAGTTGTGTGATTTGGCTATTTTTTCGTTGGCAACAGGAAGAAGCCAGCGACAGTTGCTAGAGAGTGATGGCTTGAGCTTGTTGGTCCACCTCATGGCTGACAATCAAGATGAAGAATTCAACAAAGCTGCTATGTACCTGCTCAGCAGTTGCATTGACCTAGGTAACCCCCCCCAAAAAAACTCATATTTTCTAGCCTCATTATGTAACTTTGTCTATAGATTTGACTTTTACCATCTTCAAAAAACATTTTGTTTAACCCAGATTGAGTCAACCTTAATATGGGTTTGGTTCATGTTACCCTTTGATATATTTGTTTAGTTTTCAATGGCTTTTGTGCAGTTGTCAATTATAGTGAACATGAACCCACATTCATCTGTAATCTAAAGGCCCAGCATGTGCTGTGCTGTCTTAAGCCTTAAGTACCCCAAACGTTTTCTCAGACTTGTGCGCTTTTCTTGAAGGAAGCTTGTCTTGTGACCGAATTTGTGTTAGTACTTCAAGGTGTCTTGGGACGTTTCTTTACTTTTCCAAATTGTGCTTCAGTGTCTTGTATCCAGAACTGTGGTGAATAGGCCCCTGTGTACCCTCACAGTTCCTCCAAAGTTTGTGACTGAAACGTAGGACATGCCGTTAATGCTTGCAAAGAACCCATTCCATGAAAAAGACCACAATGATTCCAAAGACCACAGATAGAGCTGAACAAGAATTGCACCTGTGGTTTTCCAGCTGTCATCCATTGTCAGGGGCCACTGTTTGCATGGAGTGCTTGTCAGGGATTAGAGAGGAAGCTCTTTTCAGATTCTAACTGTTTCATTAACTATGCTCTGGCGGTCTCTCTAGCCTTTCTCAGCAGTAATCCAATTAAGATCTGTGATTGCCCTAATTGAGTGCCCCTGATTGGCTTACTTGGCTGACAGCATTAGGTGTACCTCTTACAGGTGGTTTATTCTTGGCTTATGGAGGAGGGCCTTTAGTTCAGTTGGACCATAAATGGGAAAGCAGATTAGAAGGATTTTATTGGATCCACAGGCCTGCCTTCTATAATTGCATTCCATCCTCCTACAATTCCATTTAAAATTGCAATTTCAGGTAAAGAACATGCTGTGATTGAAAAGTTTTAACAAGCAAATGCTCACACAGTGAGTGTCTTGACCTATGATGCGACAATTCAGTAACCATGCAGCTGTGGAAACCCACATCCACATATACCTGTTTCATATTTTAAAACACAAAATTCACATTGATACGTTCTTGATGCAACTGTAACAGTAACGCTCACTCTGCTGACTGCAGTTTCATGCATGGAGGACGTAGGTCTAAATGCCAGTGACAGCAAGAATGTTCCCAAAAGACCCAGGTCGGCGGAGAAAAGGAACAAGGCACGGGCTGAAAGGGAGTCTGCATTCATCCCGATAGGTAAACAACGGGCAGAAACAGAAGGAGTTCCAGATGGGAATAAAGTACCAAGCAGACACAAGGTAAGGGGTTTTTGTCACAAAATAGCATTTTCTTTTTAAAAACTAAACAAAATGGGATTAATGTACGGAGTCAGTGATAAACACACTTATGAAATGAGGATGCTGAGAGTATCCAAAGAACTTTTTACAGAAAAAAGTTCTCTCAGGTAAGTTCATACATGTACATTGAAGGCACAGCTGTATGTTTGATATTTTTGTTTACATCATGTAGTTTTCAAAGCAATGCAGATGTTCTTTCTTTGACAGACATAAACGATCCTTGAATATTTTAGGGGGACCGGAGAATATCATGATTTATTCTTACACTTGTTACCCAAATTATTCAGTAACTGCTCCACAGCTGTGGGTTTCCAGACAACAATGAAATTCAGGCTTACAGATTTATTGGGTTTGACAAATTTGAATGTCGTGCTTTTCTTTCACTTCCAATTTAATCAACATTTGGACCGATAATGCCAAGAAATGTCTCCATCCGAGCCATTTCCAATATTGCGTTATTGTAGAATGCAGAGCAAGAGCAGCACATCACTACAGGGGTGGTGCACGGAGATAATGCCAACAGCAACGACCGGGCATCATCCTGCAGCCACAGGATGACTGAGAGCACAGAGAACAAGGTTATTAACGAGCTGCTGCAACAACTCCACGAGGTGAGATGGCAGCATCCGCTCCTCTCCGTGCCAATTGATTGGGGCCTCAGGACTGGTTCATACTGCAGACTAATGTGAAAGCAGAGCAAAATTGACCACACGAACCATCTTGCTGAGGAATTTTTCTCGAGTGGAATTGTGTTTATCATTTGCAAATTTGCAGCGTGATATTTGATCTGATGTCACAAATTAGCATTTGTGTTCATTCAAACACTTTCTCAACTCTTGGAATGGGTCCCAAGGATGATTATATGCCCCCAAAAACTAACACGTACATTATAATGCCTGCTTGGTTAACTCTTACCATGTCAGTAAAGCTTCCATTTATTTCATCAACTGTTTGGCTCTGAATCCAACATTCTTCCTGTGTGCGTTCACATAACCCAGGATACAGGTTGAGGATTGTCACTGTTTGTGCTGTGTAGCATTTGGTTGGATCTCTCATTCTGTGCTCGCTCTAGTTTTAAAAAGTTGGCATGGCCTAAAGTAAAGCAGCTGGTTCTTTTGGTTTCCTCTAGTGAAAATTGGAGCAGAAAGCTCAGATTAAATTCTCCAGACAACCGACGCCCAACCTATACACACTACATCTCTCCACCTTCCAACTATAGGCAACAGAGCTAGTCCAGTGTCTTTTGATGCTTTCTCCACTTGCTTGTATGTACAGGAGAAGAGCATACGACAGCGGCTGGAGGATGAAAAGAAAGTATTGGAGGAAAGGGAGGAGGCCAGAGCCAGGAGCAGAGGGGCAGCAAAGGAGGCGGCACTGGTAATCACCAAGGAGCTAGAGAGACAGTACACAGAGCAGAAGCTCGACAAGACTCCAGAAGATGAGGGAGAACAACCTGAAGTGAGACAGGAGATTTCAGATTCAAAATTGTGAATGGGAGTTTGAAATGGCAAAGACAGAGGACTCCTGTTGTTTGAACTTGAAAGTGTAGTTCAAAGTCCCTTTATGTGTCACCTGTGCAAGAAAATGTAACTCTCTACTAGAAAAGTTTTTGTCTGCTAGGATAGAAACATCAGGCCCCCTTCCAACTCAAAAGAAAAAAACTGAAGAAAAATCAAACTGAAGGGGGGTATCCACTTCAATAAGATCAGGATGCTAAGCTTAATTTGACTGAGAATTTTGAGGAAGAGTCCTTTTCCTTTTGAAGGATGGATGAGAGTTTAAGTGATTTAGCACTAATCATTGCAAGCTCTGTCTGAAGAGATCTTAAACCAGTAATCTTAAAATGAATCTCATTTGTTACAACTTCAGCTTCTCTCGAGCACAGTTAGATGGGTTGGCACAGTTAGATTAGAACTAAAAGGCAATGATTTCAAAACTTCTCATTTTTCCAGGTCTGTTTCTGTGTTTCCTTCTTTTCCAGGGAACCAAATCTGCCACTCCTGAAAAGCAGTTTCTCTCTCCATCAATGAAGAACGTGGAGCAGAGGCTGGAAGCCCTTGAAAAGTCACTGAATGACATCAGCAGTGTCAACAACCAACTTGCAGAGCCGATTATCTATAGCAGGCAGAGAGACCAACAGGTGAATGACCAAGACCTTGGACAAAAGTGTGCGGCTGATGGAAACAAGATGTCAAATTTGGCCCCCGTGACCAATATAGATCAAGATGGAAATGTTCAGCTTCCAAAAGTCAAATCAAAGCAGTTATGTGACAGAGTGAACAAATACATAAGAAACCTGGGTGATGGCACAGACAGTGTTGGAAAATCCCAAAAGACAGCTGGAGATGCTCTGAAGACTTTATGTCAGTTTAGTGAGTTCAGAGCTCCGACATCTCCAGTAAGACGGCGGCAAGTACCGAGGAAGATTGCCACCGGTACCAACCAGCACATCCTCCCCAGTCCAAACGTCATCAAGTTACAGAGATGCGTCGCGGACCTAAGTCGCAGACAGCCTCGCCTTCAATGCAGTCAGTATGAGTCTGATGTTGAGAGTTGCTTGTCTGAGAGCACAGATCTGTCCACCTCAGCCGACACTGACATGAGCATGACTGCCTCAGACATGTATCTAATGAAACAAGCCCAGCCACCCCACCAGATGCCCCACGCTACATGGGAGCACGGACCCGCACCTTCCCTTCATCCAATGTCTTCTGCTCGGGGCAGAGCAAATCGCAGCTACCGAGTGAATTACTCTTGGCAGAGAGGACCAACTGTCTCAGTCCCTGTATCCAGAAAACTGTCTGAACTGACCAACCTTTCAGTCTCTCACCATGGAATTGGGAGAGACAGCATCACCAAAGCATCCAAAGATGTCTTTACATTTACAGAATCTGAGAATGATCTATCAGGTGATTATTTTTATCTTTGCCATATGATGCAACCACAGTCTTTGGTTATGCCAGTGGACTACGTCTCTCAGTGCCAAGACACGCCCGTTTCAAAGTGAATATTAAAGAGGGCCACTTGTTGAATTTACTTGTTCAGAACGAACACAGTGTAAAAGCCCTTCAGGCTTTAGAATGGATTACCTTCATCATAAATGTTGGTCGGGAAAGCAACATTAAACATTTTTGGCTTCCTTTTATCCTTCAGGTATATCATCTTCAGAATGTTCAAACAAGTCAGGTTTTCATCCTGTACCCAAATGCCCAGGTAAGTCAAAAGAATGGTTCATTGCATTTGACAAGTACGAGGGAGGAGGCCTAGGAGGCTGGCCCCTAAAGCCAAATTACAGCTTACCAAATTTGTGTGCTTAGAACCAGTCGCTTGTTTGATTGCATAGATTGAAATCAACTGAGAATCTATCCCCTCCGAGCGGAACAAAAGAGGGCATGTTTTGGGGGGAATTACCACATAGGCGCGCCATAAGGCACGCAAGTATTTGTGCGTTTGATGCGGAGCACGCTGAGTACGCGTAACTAATTTATTCCAGCATGTATGGTCTTTGCGTACACGCAGAACACTTGCAAGAACCCGCTTATAACCACATGTCTTTCTTTCGCCGATTGGGGTGCACTTCAGCTCGGGGTGGATTGCTCGACAGTCTATAGTCCTCTGTTTGCACTAAGCAAGAATTATCAGTTCTTAGCAAAATTGGACCCTACCCATGCCAGTTAATTTGCAAGGACACTGGCCCACCGCTGACTGACAGTAAGCATGCTTTACGTGGTCGCCTTGTGGCAGTCCTCAAACAGCTGCCTTATGGCTCCTGCTGATACCATTTTTCATTTGTGCATAAAAGTTCCAGTCAATCATGTGGTTTGAGGGGTAAACCTCTGTCATTAGTAAGAAGTGATTAACATTTCCTACTATTAGAAAAACCCTAGCCATGAATGTAAGCTTTGGGTTGTATCCAGAACTGTGATGATTGGCTTCATACTTAAGTTGCGTTAATTTAATCTCCTGATCTGAGAATTTTCAGTATAACTCAGTTCTGTTTCTGCAACTTACACATCAAGTATCAAATGGACTTGTAATGAGGCCACAGCTGAAGGCATTGCAGTTTAATGCTATAAGGGAATTCTTGAAATGGGTTTTGCGGAGCTTGAGACAAAGCGAAAGATTGTGGCACAGCCAAGATTCGGATGCCGACCTCTGTCTTGAATTTTTTTCTCTCCTGTTAATAGGCTGTGCCCCACCAATCAACCGCCCATTGCTCAACAGCCGCAACTTCTTGTACACTCTGGAGAGGAGCCAACACACCTGCTCCGAGCACAGAAAGCTTCAGAGGTGCATCAAGCAAGACCTCTACCACCGTAGGATGGCTCAGACAAGTAATAAAGGTGCTTCAGAATCTCTGAATTGCTGGTTATATAGAACATTTGAATTCTTATAACATATCTGATGAGTTCACTGATGACAGACTACCAAGTTTTAAACTGAAACCAAAAGGTTGGGTTGGTTAAAGTAATGATTGCAAAGTTGCTCGTTGTTCCTTTTATACTGGATTATGTGGTAATTTCAGGGAAGTATTTCAAAAATTTGGCCATAACTTGACTATCCTAGAAGGGCATTATAGAAATTTGTATTAAGTTCCCAATTTGTTTCGCAACTTCATGGTTCCAGAGTCACTTAAACAGATGTTTTCGTTGGCTGATGCAGTCCACTCGCACCTGCACTGAAACTCATGTGAGGTCGATCTCCAAGATGCTTATTACATGTAGAATTGGCTCTCAGCAATTGTCCTTCCCTCCTGGTAAACCAACAAGATTCAACCGGAGAGTAATTTCACAAATATTTTCCTTGCAGGTGCGTCCCCTGAATTTGCAAAAAGCAGCAGGTCCCATCTGGTCAGAAACTTGAGAAGTGCCACAAGGAACGGAAGGAGCCCACACTCCATCACATCTGCCCCTAGAAACAAATGGGTAGGCAGCTCAAAAGGAGATACGGAGGAAAACCGTTGGACTGTTGTCCTTTGCTTTATTTATAGTCACATAATACAGATTTTAAAATACAGAATGTTAATAACATACCTTGAATTATGCATCAGATTAATCGTTTCAAAAAAAGTTTGGAATAGGAATTTCTGGTCTTGAAAGACAGCAGAATCAGTGGAGACATTTGATTTCTACATGTCGTATGCCATTATCCCCGGGCAGATTGAACCTCTGTTTGTTCCTGAACCCTTCCGCCTGCCTTTCTCATGCATGCCCAATAAAGCTACCGTCACAGCTGCTGCCGCACTCCTAGAATCAAAGCACCAAACACTGGGAATGGCTGTCTGCCTTGAGATGTTGGCAGCAACGCCCCCTCAACTCATGCATTCTGTAGTCATTCATGAACCAGCAAAATGTACTTACATACCCAAGCCTCTGTTGCTAGGAAAAATTGCACTCTTTCCTGGTCCTGCTTGTGGTGGATAATCCCTGGACCTCCATGATATTCATATTTGGGCTCTCAGTGAAATGGGGGGGGGCGGTACAGGAAAGTGTCATATTTCCCTTGAAAGGTATTGGCTTGGCCAAATAACTGCCTGGCTCTCCAACAACGTATGCCAAAAGTGCCAACAATGGAACTTCACTGTTGAGTTTTTCAATAGAAATAGCACAGATGCGATGCGCAACTGGGTCAATAAAGATAAATGTATTTAGAAGCACTTCCTCAATTGTTTCAAATTCTGGCCACAGGCGAGTTGTGCGTCAAGACGTCGACGGAAGAGGCAAGAGTTCAGCAGGACAGAGATCTGCAACCTCATCAATGGAGTAGCAAAGAAGGGCAAACACTGGAATTGTATCCTCTGGGCTTACAAGTTTGCCCCTGGCCGGACAGCGGTGGACCTTAAAGACAAATACAGAAGAATGCAGGTGGGTTCCTTTTCGCAGTCCCTTTGTGCTATTGGTGATGGTCAGCGTATATCAGGATATCGCCGAGGGATGAATTCCTCGCTTGCAACAAATGCACCAACCTGTTTTTATTTGAAGATTCTTAGCAGACGTGCTGTGATCTATTTGATAATCAGTAGCTAACAGAGTTATTACAGGCTGAAACTCAACTTTGGAAAAAAATGTGCAAGTTGACTTTTCAAATACACTCTAGCACTACAAAAGCTGATCCTTGAAAGGAATGTGCATACTATGTGTGTGATATTTCCCACCGCAACTTCTTATTTCACAACGCTCTGAAGCAGCACCGCAGAGCAATACTTGCTACAAGGCAGGCCATATACAGCAGCCAAGTTCCACTCAGACTTCCTGGAGGTTGTGTGTGGACAAAAACAAATGGGGATTAGGCATGTATGCACATCTGCTACAGCAGGCTTAAGGAACAGTTAACATATTGTAACCATGATTTGCCTGATCATGTTTACATGGCCTCTTGTGTGAACTGGTGAACAAACATTGGTAGTACTTCAATTGTGGAATTGTGGTCAGGTTACAAGACAATAATCTTACAACATACTAGCATCCTCTTGCTTAATTTTTACATTTCAAGGCTCAGAACTATGTGGATGTGTCCCCACGTAGCTCCTCTTCCTCCCATCTGAGCTCTAAACAACGACAAACTCAGAAGGCAATCGATCATACTTGGAGACCCTAAAGATGGGTAATGACAAGTTTGAAAATTTTCATTTCACGTTAAAAAAATCCCTTTATTACATTTTACCGGAGTAAATTTTGTTTTTGATGTTAAAAATTCAAAGCAAACGGTGGATTGTGAACTATCCAAAACAGGAATTTGTTCATTTCCGACCAATTGTTTTTGAATTTGTGCTATAACTTATTAAATGAAATTCTAATGTGAGTACATCATATGAAATATGACCGTTCTCACAAAACACAGTGAGTTTTGAAGTGTTAAGATTTGGTTTACTATGGACAACAAGTTTACCTCGATCTGGACCATTTTCCACAACTATAACCAACTCAATCCTTTTTTCCAGGCAGCTACAAATCTTTTTTTCAAAGTGAGTCATAAATATCTTTTAAAAATTTATGATTTGTAAGTCATTTCTGAAAAAGTCACTTTTCTTGACAGTTACAAGAAAAAAAATGGCCAATCAGGCAGTTCCATAGCTTAATGTTTAATGCATTGAAATGAAACCTCGGTACGTATATGCCCAGCATGATATCTTTCTTTCTTTTGTATTTTTAACAAGTTAAGGGCCTCTTCCCATTGTTGGTATTGAAAACAGAGGCCTTCAACTTGTTGAAAATACAGAAAAATTTAAGTAGGAATTTCATGAATAGGTGCAAAGAGAGTTCACATTAGTGCACTTTGGTACTATAATGTTTTAAATGTCACTTCTAATTTATTGATTCCTGCAATGCAACAATTAACAATTTTTTTCACCTAATGTACTATTTATTTCATGAAAGTTCATGAATAAAATGTTTGAATGGATTGAAGGTAACCCATTCCTTTCATAAATTAGTCTGTTCGGGTTTCTATAAAATATCCTCAATATTTACATTTTATCAAATTTCCTAAAGGATTTATCTGAAGAGATTGCTAACATTTAAGTACATACAGTAACTTGTCATCATAATGGTAAAGGACAAGTCATGGCTTTTCCTCTTGTTCCTTTATATAACATTTTCCCACCGACTGAGGACACCCTTTATACATTTGAAGACTGTTTTTCAACACGATTTCCTTTCAGGTACAAGAATAAACCATGAATTCTTTCTCCCATTGTACATGTATACAAACCACAACCACTCTTTTTAAGATCATGCCTCCTCTTTACATTCTCTGTTTTTTCTCAAAGACTCTTGGAATCAATTTTCAATCAACCTGAATAAAAATCCTAATGAATGATGGCTAACTTTAAACTTCTGAAAGTTTGCCGATGGGTTTCTTCAAAAAGAAGTACAAAAGTAGAACAAACCTGTAACAAAGGTTTCACAGAAAACAGTAACAGGATTTCACCTAAAAACTCATGAACATACACAATCTACAAATTATGATGTAGAAAACATTCAAAGCACTTCACCTAAATGACTGAAGTGGCACCATGCAGAGACAGTATTTTTATCATTATTTCTAAACAAAAGGCTCAAGTTTCAGACTTAATTCAAACTTGGAATGAACCTTTACAGTCAAACATAAATTCACAGTGATTGACATACTGATTATATTGAGACAATTTTGCCAGTTCCACACACTACAGATCTCTGATAAACATACACAAATACTTTATGGTTATTTTTATCAACATACTCGAGGCTTCAAAGCATGTTATGAGTGCATGTGCTCAACAGGACTTCAATTTTCTGCCAACTATCCTCATGTTACAACTTTGGTATTGAGAATGAAAGGCCTTGGAAATGTCTTATCAAAATATTGCCACCTTGCCCATTTCACAGCGGAACTATCTAGTCTTGTTCAATTTCACCACTTTGAAGGATTTGATTTATAGCAGTATTTTAGACTGCAGTGCTTTAAAAATATAAAAATGCTATACATTTTCCTTGAAAATGACACCATGCGGAATAAAACCCTCTCTCTACCATAACAAATGTGTTATAGCAACTTTAACCCTAACCCTCCTCAATCCTCCAACAGGTGAAGGATTGAGGAGGGTTAGGGTTAAGGAAGGTCTATGAAAAACAAGACAGAAAAACTTTCTATTCCTGATCATCTAAAACCTGAGGTCAGGGGTTCCAACCTAGCTGCTAGCGACATGGCGTGGCCTGGAGCAAGTCACTTCACCCCCAACTGACTCTCTCTATCCAGGAGTATAAAAGGGTACCTAGCTCAGCCCAATATGGCTGCATTCAAACAATGTATGCACTCCAGAGGGCGCTACAATGGCTTTTGAGAATGTTTGAGACTGACGGGCAGGAATAATGATAATAATCTCTTGCTTTTTTTATTTTAAAAAATATTTTACAATTACTATTTTTGGTTGATCCAACCTTTCGTTTACTATTTCTAGGTCGATGCTTGGAGTTTGATAAGGCTGGCATTCCTCACAAAAACAGCAAAAAAATGTATGACGACAGGCTACTGTGTGCTGGTGATCAAATACATTTACGACAAACATTTAAATGATTTCAGTCAAGCAAATATTCCAAAATAAGAACTGCTTTGCAAATTCTACTAACTTTACTTCGAAAGCGAAAGGGTCAAGCAATGTAGTCAAGTACGGAACCTTAATGAAAAACCTACAAATGGCTTACTCAATACAACTGCTCATAGCAAACATGTACATGAATCTTAAATAAGGCCTTACCCAAATAAGTCGGAAATTGAAATTATATATATTCACACACAATTGCCCAGTATGCAACTTTGCACAAACGACTTCTACGTGCTAAAAAAGGATAAAAATTTCTGTAATACTCAAACCTTTCAATTCAAACCAAGAGAAACCAGCATTTTCTTTCTAAAAGGCAAGGGAAGCTTTGTTGATTTGCCACAAAAAGTTTCCATTTTTTCTACTCTAAGATTTCAGATCTTTGATCTAGG